AGCAGGGGGGCGGGCTTCATGGGCGGCGCGCGTCCTGCCAAGCCATGGGCAGTACATGGGTGGGCAGTACATGGGGGGGGGCAGTACATGAGCGTTGCGCAAAAGGGGGGGGGCAGTACATGGGTGGGGTGCAGCAAGGTGCGCCTTCTGTGCCTTCAAGGGGCCCCCTGGGACCCCCCTTTCGGGCACAGAAGGGGCACGCACGGTGCACGTTTTCTCCCAGCCCCCCACCCCGACGTCGTGGTCGTCGTCGTCGTGGTCGTCGTCGTCGCCTTGCCATCGTCGTCGTCGTCGTCATCGCCTTGCCGTCGTCGGCGTCGTCGTCGGGGCCTCTCCACCAAGCGTTTCTCCCCCAGCCTCCAACATGAGGCCACGCCCGAAAGCAACCATGGCCAGGCGCGGAGCTGCCGCGCAGAGGCTGCGGGAGCCCGCCCGCAGGGGTCGAGGGGGTCCCCCGTCTGTCGATCCTTGGCATTGTTTGGTCGAGATCCCTTGGGGAGCTGGTTTCTGAGGAGGGAAAGGTACCGACACCGCTGCTCGTCCTGGAGAGCCCCGGTCGTCGCGGCTGGATTCTCTTCGGAACTCCAATCGGAATGCACTTCGGGAGAGGTCTGGGGAGAGGTAGCGGTATCGGTAGCGTTTTGCTTCCCATCCCCAGGATCGCTGAGCCTTTCTGAAGACCAGAACGCCCAGGACCTCGCCCAGTCGTTGCCGCGGCCTCTAGGGGTCATGAGCTGCGGGCACCACGCGGCCACGAAGGGCATAAGCATATGTCCATATCTCTCGCCCAGGAAGTTAATCATAGCACGGTGAGTTTTGCCGCAGGTGTTGGAAATATCTCGAAGCGGGTGGACAGGAACTGGAGAAGCACATCCCGAACATTGGGGAGTATGCCGCGGTATGCACACACGGCGGTGAGCTTTGTGCGGAGGGTTTTTTTGATGCCGTGTTTCTTCACGGGGGGGCGTGTTTCAATCAAGATCCAGAGACAGTGGAGGTTGCGGATGAACACTCTTCAGAAGCCATGCGCAGAGATGAAGTGCAGTGTCGACTAGTGCGTGGAGCATGTTGTCACACAAATGGCAGCGCCGATGACTGTACCACTTGGAGTGAACAGGTGGGCGTCCATTGTGGATTCCCGTGCGGGGGAGTTGTGGCGCAGGCGGAGATCGGCACATATCTCGAAGGTGAAGTGGCCGACTTTGGGTTGGGTGCGGCGCCTGTCTACTATCTTTTCGAGGCCGCGCTGCACGCACCACCTGACGCAGCACCGCGGCCAGAGCGCACGCAATATTGACTGGTATCATCCCCAATGCTAGGCTGTCCTTGAGGGTGAGCGCTTTGAAGTGCGGGGGAAAGCATGGGGCGTTTGATCCTGCATTCCCTGATTCCTGTCAGATGCGTGCGCCCACCATTGACGACTTCTTGGGGGCCATGGGTCCCAGGGTCGATGGCAAAGGCACGCGATCCATTGGTGCGGCATATGGGCTCGAGGGAAGGCGTGCGATTAAGGCGGCCTGCGTCGTTGCCATGTTCGGAATCGTCTTCTGCTTGAGGGATGAGCTTCGAAGGCGGCGGCCGTTTGAAGTGCTTGGGCTCCAGGCGAGGCCTGTTCCCGCGAGCCGACCATGCCAGGGCGGCACTGCTTCACGGTCGGCGGGCGCCTGAGGCACAGATGAGCCCGAACGGCGAGCAGTAAACCTCGGCGCTCACAGCACCCCCCCAGAGTCGGAGGCCTAGAGGTTAACCCGAGGGAAGATGATCCCGATCTCGGTGATGGAGGTCACATGCGGGCCCCCGCATGTGGCCGAAAGATTTCCACCAGCACCAGCATCCAGGATCATCTTCCCCCCGTGGAGACAAACCCCTGTGTTGGTCTTGGTGCTCAATTCCAGGCCTCCACGCAGAGGACAATCGATCACTGGCGCGGGCGACCGGCTGCTGCGTATCGTGCGGCACACGCGGAGCCTTGGGTGATGGTTGTCACCACGCAGCAGTTCTACCACGCGTGGGCGTTGCACACGCATGAACAGGGTAGCCGAGGAGGGTTACCGCGGGCCCGCCGCGACTTCGTTGATGATGGCGCATGGTGCCTTTGGGATCGAGTTGATGGCTGAACTCCGCTGCGGCCCTCGTCCTTCCTCTCCTCAGCTGCTCCCGCTGACTGGCGCTTGCTGCTGGCTGACCTCACGGACGGTGGCCGTGCTGCGCGAAGGGGAAGGGGAATGGGGCTAAAAATGTGTCATGTTCATCCTTGGTCCCACGCCCGGGGTCCCTCGCCCACCCACCATTCGGGCTCCCTCCGCTTCCTCCCCCTCCTCCCCCCCACAGCCCCACAGGGATAGACATTCGTTACCATTTTGTCGAATCGGCTCCCGAGCCTGCACTTCGCCCACAGAAGGCCGATCGGGGCACTATTACCACTCGTCGAATGGGCCTGGACGCTCCAGAACCGAAGGAAGATGGTAAATGAAAAGCCTGGATACTTCCCCCCCCCCTCCCCAACCCACATGATCCCCCCTCTTGGGTGGCTCCCAGCGCCCAGCCAGCCTGCCAAGGCATCGGCGGCGGGCGCCAACCAGAGCCTGTCTGGTCGCCTGCTCGCCCTCCGGAAGCTGGCCTCGGAGGAGGCGCTGTGCAGCGACGGGCCCGAGTGGACGCGGGGTTTCCAAAGTTCGCCACGTGCGGCTCGGCCCCGCCTTCTGTAATGCTGCTTCGTAGCGAGGGTTCGCATGTCGGGCAGAACCAGATTGTCAGCTTCGTTCGCGTTGCCAGACAGGGTGGTTAGTCAGCGTCTATGTTTCTGTAGGTTGTGCTCTACTACCGCGTCGGAGGAAGTATATGCCAGATTGGCTCAGGACGAAGATACATCGTTTCGTGCTGCTCAAGCATATGTTGGGTGACATCGCGGTTCACTCGCGACCGTTCGGAGCTACGTATGAGAATTATATTGTAACGTTGTAACGTATACATGTGTGTGTTGGCCAACGTGGACCCCAAGCAGTGTGTCTCTAGCCATATATGTCGTGCAATATGTGGTGTGCAATAAATGTGGTGCAAGTGTTTTATGTGCAACTTGTGTGGTACCATCTATGCTGTGCAATATATATATATATATATATGGAACAGTTCTATGTAATGCAAACTATGTTGTACAATAAATGCTGTGCATTCTATGTTGTGCAATCTATGTAGCGCAATCTACGCGGTGCGTTCAGTGTGGCGCAGTTCTTGTCGCAGCGACGGGGCGGCGACAAGGCGGTGACGGGGTGGCGACGGCGAGCACGGGCCCGCCAAACCAACACCCAGGCCCAGACGACGGGCGGCGACGAGGCGGCGACGGGGCGGCGACGGCAAGCACGGGGCCGCCTCAACCAACACCCAGGCCCAGACGACAGGCGGCTTCGAGGCGGCGATGGGGCGGCGACGGCAAGCACAGGGCCGCCAAGCCAGCACCCAGGCCCAGTTCCCTAGACCCTAAGAGCAAGCATTGTGTGGGGGGAACATCATGTGGATATCTATGTTTTTAATATGCATGCGTCAAAATGTGATAGCCAGCGTGGACCCCAAGCAGTGATGTATTGGAGGCTGCGCGGTGCAATCTACGTGGAGCAACGTACGGGTTCAATAGTTGCGCTGGAACTGCATTGGCGTGATTAAATGCTTATCGGTGCGATTGTACGCATGTGTTTGTGTGAGCGCCTCTGTGTGTGCACACATTATTGCGTGCAGGCCTGAATGTATGCGTGCACGTACTTAGGTGAATATATGCTTGTTTGTATGCATGTATGTGTGTGCCAGCCCCAGTTATACGTCAATCTTGATTGCACAATTGCAAAGCAGCGCGATTGCAAAGCAATGCAAGGTTACGCAACGCAATGCAAAGCGATGCAAAGCCTTGCAAAGCGATGCCAAGCAATGCAAAGCAGTTCAGAGCAATGCAACGCACGGCATAGCACTGCAAAGCAACGCAACCAATGCAGAGCAGTGCAATATAATGCGATTGCGCAGCAGTGCGATTGCAACGCAATGGCGCAACACAAAGCAAAGCAACGCCAAGCAACGCCAAGCAATGTGAAGCAATGCAAGCGGGTGGCGACGAGGCGGCGGGCGGCGACGAGGCGGCGACGGCGGCCACATGGCGACCAGAGCGGCCCGCAGGCCCAGGCGACGGGCGGCGACGAGGCAGCAACGGCGGTCACATGGCGGCCAGAGCGGCCCGCAGGCCCAGGCGAAGGGCGGCGATGGGCGGCGACGAGGCCGCGACGGCAGCCACATGGCGGCCAGAGCGGCGCGCAGGCCCAGTCCCTTGGAAAAGAGGTAAGACCCCCTAAGGACAGTTGTGGGGTGAATGCGATTAGTGCTTGTACATGTGCATTAACGCATATGTTTCAAACAAGTGTGAAGAGATGTATAAAAGTGCACATCTGACTGTCATCGCAGACCCGGAACAGTTGGGGCATTACATTCTGCACGCCAGCTTTACAGGGCGCACAGCATACGATATGCGATCAATGTTGTGCAAGATATGGGATGCAAGGTAGATGGTGTAAGATCTTTGGTGCTAGCTATGGGTTCCAGTATGTATGCATGTGTTGCGAGCTATATGATACCAGAGAAAAGCCATCAAAGTAGTTTTAGGGCTATAGGGCGACGGGGCCATGGGGCTATAGGGCTATGGGGCTATAGGGCTATGGGGCTATAGGGATATTGGGCTAGAGGGCTATAGGGCTATTGAGCTATGGAGCTATAGGGCTATAGGGCCATAGGGCTATAGGGCTGTTGGGCTATAGGGCCATGGGGCTCTGGGGCTATGGGGCTATAGGGCTATAGGGCCATAGGGGTATGAGTCTATAGGGCTATGGGGCTGTACGACCATAGGGCTTTAGGCCTATAGGGATATAGGGCTATAGGGATATAGGGCTATAGGGCTACAGGCATATAGAGCTATAGGGCTATAGGGCTATGAGGCTATCAAGCTATAGGGTTATAGGGCCATAGGGATATAGGGCTATAGGTCTATAAGGCTATAGGGCTATAGGGCTGTAGGGCTATGGGGCTATTGGGCTACAGGGCCATAGGGCTATAGGGCTATACGGCCATAGGGCTGTAAGGCTATAAGGCTATAGGGCTACAGAGCTATAGGGCGATAGGGCTGTAAGGCTATCAGGCCATACGGCTATATACGATCCCGGGCTCCGGGCCCACGGCCCCCCCCCCCCAGATGGTATGGTCCCAGGTGATTCCTCGGGCCCCCCCCCCCCAGATGGTATGGTCCCAGAGACGACGACGACGACGACGACGACGACGACGACGACGACGACGACGACGACGACGACGACGACGACGACGACGGCGACTGCGACGACGGCGACGACTACGACGACGGCGACGACGACGACGACGACGACGACGACGACGACAACGACGGCTGCGGCGGCGACGACGCCGGCGGCGGCGGCGACGACGACGATGACGACGATGACGACGGCGACGACGACGATGACGACGACGACGACGATGACGACGACGACGACGACGAGGACGACGAGGACGACGACGACGACGACGACCTCTGAACCACCACAGCACCACACCACATCCACAGGGGGGGGAGGGGGGCACCGCAGCGCAGCACCACGCCACGCCCACCTCTGAACCACCACAGCACCACACCACATCCACAGGGGGGGGAGGGGGGCACCGCAGCGCAGCACCACGCCACGCCCACAGGGGGGGGCGGGGGGGACCATCGCGCGCGGGGGGGGGGGGGGCCCAATGGCATCAGCATTGGGGGGGGGGCCCAAGCCCTGGACCATATATGATCCCGGGCTCCGGGCCCACGGCCCCCCCCCCCCCAGATGGCATGGTCCCAGAGACGACGACGACGACGACGGACGACGACTACGACGACGGCGACGACGACGACGACGGCGACGACGACGACGACGACGACGATGACTGCGGCGGCGACGACGCCGGCGGCGGCGGTGGCGACGATGACGACGATGACGACGGCGACGACGACGATGAGGACGACGACGACGACGACGACGACGACGAGGACGAGGACGACGAGGACGACGAGGACGACGAGGACGACGACGACGACCTCTGAACCACCACAGCACCACACCACATCCACAGGGGGGGGAGGGGGGCAGCGCAGCGCAGCACCACGCCACGCCACGCCCACCTCTGAACCACCGTAGCACCACACCACATCCACAGGGGGGGGGAGGGGGGCACCGCAGCGCAGCACTACGCCACGCCCACAGGGGGGAGCGGGGGGGGACCATCGCGCGGGGGGGGGAGGGCCCAATGGCATCAGCATTGGGGGGGAGGGGGGGGGGGGCCCAAGCCCTGGACCATATATGGGGATATTGGGCTATGGGGCTATAGGGCTATAAGGCTATAGGGCTATAGGGATATAGGACTATAGGGCTATAAGGCACCCGGGCACCTGGGCACCCGGGCGGGCCGCGGAAATCGGTGGCAAACCTCACCTAACCATATGAATCACCCCTACAAAGGCAAGCTCTGATTGGGGAAAGAATCCGCAAGGACCCCCACAGGGTCAAGCTCTGATTGGGGAAGAACGTCTCCCTGTCGACCGCCGAGGCCTGTTCTTAGGGCGGACCGGGCGTTTCGCTTGAGACTTCCTTACCATTCATGATTCCGAAGCGTAGACATTTGCAACAGTTTCACATATGGCTATAAAGCTATACATAGGGCTATGAGGCGATGGGGCTATAGGGCTATAGGGACATAGGGCTGTAAGGCTATAGGGCTGTAGGGCTATAGGGCTATATGGCTATAGGGCTATAGGGCTATAGAGCTATAGGGCTATAGGGATATAGGGCTATATGGCTATAGGGCTATTGGGCTATAGGGCTGTGGGGCTATAGGGCTATGGGGCTATAGGGCTATAGGGCTATAGGGATATTGGGCTATTGGGTTATTGGGCTATTGGGCTATTGGGCTATAGGGCTATGGGGCTGTAGGGCTATAGGGCTACAGGGCTATAGGGCTAAACGGCTATAGGGCTACAGAACTATAGGGCGATAGGGCTATAGGACTATAAGGCTATAAAGCTGTAGGGCTAAAAGGCTATAGGGCTGGAGGGCTACAGGGCTATTGGGCTATGGGGCTATAGGGCTATAAGGCTATAGGGCTACTGGGCTATAAGGCACCCGGGCACCCGGGCGGGCCGCGGAAATCGGTGGCAAACCTCACCTAACCATATAAATCCGTTAGGACCCCTACAGAGGCAAGTTCTGATTGGGGAATGCTGCACGGTGAGTTGTTCTACATGTCTGGCGTCATGTATGTTGATTCTTTGTAAACGTGCATAAATGTATACATACATCAACACACATGATGCAGATATGTGTTGGGTACGCTCTTTGTTGTGCAAGCTATCTGGTGCGATCGACATTTGCATCCAGTAACGTCTGCCAGTCCACCAGGTGCCCACTGGGCGCCCGCGGGCGGACAAACGCCCGGAACCTTGGAGAAGCCTGCCAGCACGGTGTCTCACGAGGCGCACATGGGCAGGCAATTGGCAAAAACATGGGGAAGCCAGCCAGCCCACGGGGCGCCCACAAGGCGCCCACGGGCGACACCGGGCGAAACATTGGAACCGCCCCCCAACTACTTACCAAAGATGTGAGAGACACGAATGCAAGCATTGTTTCGGAGGATCTTGTCAACAGCAACCGGAGGACAGACGACAAGTCAATCAAGGTTGACATTGGTGGGGAGCATGGGGAGTGCCTTTGCAGGGGTGGTTAGAAACGTTTGCGCCACCATACCACATTACAGAGGGAAATGGTACCAGCCGCCCCTAGACTGGCAGCCCCCACAACGGAAATTCGTGTCTCAGAACGTGTTCCGTCCTTCGGCGACGACCCCCACATGTGAGAAGGCAGGAGGCACCGATATGGCAGCGTCATTTTTCTGCCTCGCACAGCTCGGGTCCCAGACTTGCGGTGGACTGGTCCTTCAACCCGTGACTCGAAAACAATAGGTCGTTGGAGGTCTGGGTCATCAGGGACAAAAGCTGGCCACATCCAGGGTGTACTGACAATCTGCCCGATCACAGCAGAGCTCTTTCCACCGCGGAGTTTCGCCCAGAGAGGGGAGGGAGCGACTGGAACGCTGCGAGCGCGGCCGCGTGCCCCGTCGTCTGATTTCTTCCGCTGCCCTTCAGGATGGCAGGCACGGCCGGAGTGAGGAGTTGGTTCGATCGAGACTTGCTCGAGGCCGCCGTGAGTGCTGGCCCCGGGGGCGTCTACGCGGGCTACCTCCAGGAGGTGTGCTTGCCAGCGCAGCTCGCCTTGGACCTCCTCTGCTCGCAGCACGCCAGGCTGGAGGGCAGGCGCGGAAGAGCCCTGGCCGCGCGGCGCATGAGGCGGCTGGGGGTACTGCTGCCCCTGGTGGCCGAGTGCCTGGTCTCCTCGCTGTGGCCCATGGAGCCCGCCGACCTGCGGGCCTACCTCGGCAGCTGGGAGGAGGCCGTGTCAGCGGCCGCCGGGAGTCGCGAGCCGCCCGAGGTGCCGCCGTTCGAGGCCCTGGTGCTCCCGAGGCCCCTCGAGCAGCTGGACGAGCGGGTGCGGCGCTGCTTGCCCCTGCAGAGGGCAGGGCCGGCCTGTTGGCAGCGGGAGGCGGCGTCGTTGCTGGAGAGCTGCACCCGGTGCTGCAACCCTGCGTTCCCGCGGGGGCAGCGGGCCTGCTTCTCTGGGGGGTGGTCCTTCGAGGCCTGCTGCAACCCCGACGTCCCGGGGACCAGCTGGCCGCCACCCCCCGAGGCGGTGGAGGAGCTGGTGGCGCGCGGCCCGGCCTCGGGAGGCGGCGCGCCCCCGCCGGGCCGGGGGGCGGCGGAGCTGCGGGAGCTGCGGCGGGAGCTGCGCGAGGCCTGTCCGCCACAGTTCGGCGCTGGTGACAAGGCCCCCCGCTCCCGCGCCGCGGCGTGGGCCGAACTCCAGAGATGGCTGGCCACCGCGAGGGCTCAGCCGCACGGTCTGCAGCGTGCCTTCCCCGAGCTGGACATGCTCGTCTCCACCAAGGCGTGCGTGTCGCCCGAGACGGAGCTGCCCTGGTTCGTGCTCGCAGGCGGCGACCCCCAGGAGGAGGCGGCGGCCTCGGGCGTTGAGCTGGCGGTCGCCATGGGCGCCGTGTGTGGCCCAGGCGTGCCCGTGGCGGGCGAGCTGGTGGCGCACGCAGGCGAGAGGGTCACCGTCCCATGCAGGCGGCCTCCCGGCGGCCCCGAGCCACGCCACCGTCTCGAACCGTACGGCCTCGAGCTCATGCACGCCTGCCGGCTTGCGCCGCAGGGCGGCTGCGGGTGTGGCACGGTTTGGTGCCCCAGCGACCCTGGCGGGTGTTGCCGCGAGGGCGCGAACGTTGAGTGGAGGGGGGTCGGACTCCTCACCGGGGAGCTGCGCACGAACATCGCTCACTTCGCCCGCGACGCGCTCTGGCTGCATCTGCACCTGCGGGGAAACGCCAGCCTGGCCGCGCTCGGCGTCGAGTCGACGGGCGGCGTGGAGGTCGTGCTCACGAAGCACGCCGCCACGGAGTGCTTGGAGAATGGGCAATGCGTGAAGACGGGGCGCGACATACTGGGCACCATGGAGAGCTTCCTGGCCGAGGTGGCGCTGCGCGACGCGGAGCCCGCTCCGCGGGTGCTGCATACCGGTGACCCAGAGCGCAGGCACCCGATCTGTTTCGAGACCGTTGCCCAGCGCTGGCGGCCCTGGGCGGGCGACGGACACTCGATAGGATCCTTCCGCGCCAAGGCGTTGGACCACTGCTCCCTGCGCGACCTCGGCCTCCAGAGGAAGGTCCTGGTCGTTCTGCGCGACGCCTCCTCGCGGCAGTGGTCCGACCAAGGGGCCCTCCAGGAGCAGCTGGGCGCATTCGCGCGGTCCATCGGCAGCTCCCTCCACGCCGTGTATCTGGGCTGGCTGGAGCCGTGCGAGCAGGTCCGGGTGCTGCACGACGCCATGCTGATGGTGGCCATCCATGGCGCGGACCTCACCGGCATGATCTTTTTGCCGCAGGGCGCCGCGGTCGTGGAGGTGGCGGTGGAGTGCGAGCTGGAGGGTGGCAGCGTGGACTCCCCCTTCTGGCGGGGGCCAGGCACGCACATGAACTCCTCCGTGTTCGAGGAGGCCGTCGACGCTTGGCGGCGCGACAGCGCGGCGGGCAGATGCCCGGCGGCGGGCGCCACTGACCGCCGGTGGTTGCAGGGCTTCCCGGTCTCGCAGTTCGCGAAGCTGGCGCGGCAGGCGAATTTGCTCTACACCGCCGTGATGGACTGCAGCGAGTCGGACTGCCCTGGTCGCCAGATGGGCGACGTCTGGGACCGGGGCTGGTGCACCGCCGCGGACGTCAAGAAGAGAAGATTCGTGGACGTGGACATCGAGGACTTGATAAGCCGACCAGTCGTGCAAGTTTCGCCACTTTGGTGCGCCGTTGGGGGTCGACGAGGGTGCGGTCTCAGGAAGATCAACTGAGACGTCGACCCCGTTTAGCGATGCCAATTCTGTCTGCAGTTGACGGTCTCCACCTTCCAATGCCCTTGGGGGGTCTGGCGCAGTGCGGCGTTACGCAGATCGAGCGAGGTTAGGCCTCACCTTGGCGTCGTCTCAGTCACGAATGTCCTGAGGTCCATGCGCCCCTGGTGGGTCCAGCGGAGAGCCATGTTACGCAGATCAAATAAAATTCTGACCTTCCCCACGTTGGGCGCCGCCAAACGCGCAAGTGCGCCCGCTTCCCTGCGCCCCCGTGATCCTCGCCTCACCTGCTAGCCAGTACGCTCCTCCACCTTCTTCATGCTGTTTGGCGGATTACCCGACTAGGAAATTTCACATTTTCTGGTCTCCACAAGCATTCAGCGCGCGTCAGCTTCCGAAACAGCTCCACGCGGAGATTGCGTGTCCCTTGAAGGTATTACGGGTATGTTCTGGCTCTGGGGTGTTTGTGCGATTGCCAGTTGGGTGTTACTTCTTGACGCGAGAGCGCAATTCGGAAAGGCGATTGGCGAACGAATGCCTCTCGGCGCTGCTTTGATTTCACAGGTTCACAGGACAGGAGGGGGCGTGGCTGGTCATGGCCAGCATCTTCAGGCCTCACATCCACTGCAATGTGAAAGCTGCAGCCTCGACCGACGATGTCTTTTCGCAGCACCGCGCCAGAACACTGACGCGCCTCCTCCGGTAGCCAGAAAGGGAGCCAGCCTCTGGGCTTGTGAGCGCTGTGCCTGCTAAGACATCGAGGTTACGGACTGGTACTACTGCGTTTCCAACCTACCCCCCAGACGCCAACCAGTAAAGCTCAAAGTGTGTAAATGGAGACCAATTGCGCGCCACGCGATGCGGACGCAGATTGGCATGCCCACATAGATGCTTACGTACTGTAGGGGGGGGCACTTATCCAAAATGCCATTCTAAACAGGATCTTGTTGAACGGCAGCCTCAACCAGAATGTCTTGGTTGACCAGGCGGCTAGTGGCACGCTGTGATGTTCCATGCCGCGGCCCTGGAAGTCTACTTGTGCAGCATGGGCGATGGCTGTCTTCAACATGCCATAGTGCGAGAATCTCTCTAGCATGGCCTGCTGGGCTGCCTGAAGATCGGGCGCTGGCTACTACGTGACCTCAGTCGCATGAGTTCTGCAACAGGCCAGCCTCTGTGCACACTGTCAGGGTGATTCGAAGAAGGGCTGAGGAGTATCTTATGCCACGTTGCCTTCACGTACGGCTGCATAGACAATCTCCCAGGCGGTTCAATACGTGGGATTGTGAAGAATGTGGCATTCAGCTTGTTGATGCGTGTTGTCGAAAACTCATCTTTGCTAGTGTGGTATGCGTGCCCATGTTGAGCTATCAATACCCGAAACAACTAATCGAATATGGCCCTAGTGTTGGACATGACATATATGTCATCTCGGTAGCGCACATCTGCTAATGTTTGATACTGTTTCTGCGAGTGGCGATCCATAGCGAAAGTTAGTTCCGCCAGCAAATGGGGACATGGGTCGGCCTTTTAACCGCTGTGACTCTGACCAATTCTACGGCCTGTGGTTACACTCCAACAGTAATTGTCGCTTTCTTCCTCTAAAAGCTATTAGCGCACAGATTGAACGAGCCAGATGCACTGCACAGTTGCCAAGTCTTGTTTGCATCCGTCTGGATACACGTGTTTGATTGTGTCTACCATGCCAGAGTGATGATCCATGCGGAAGAAATACGGAATATCAAGTTTAACGAATTCTTGTATGGTCGGGAGCATGCTTCCCTCAAGTGGTGCAGCAAGCCGACCGTGTATTTGATTAGGCGAGGCAATGCTTCGAGGTACCCAGCCAGCACGATCGTATGAGACCGCTCCCAGCAAACGGTGCTGCTTGTGTGAATGCATCAAACGACAGGTCGCCTGACCACGAGGCTTGCGCGTCTTGGTAACACGTGCGAGCGTGCGAGTCAAATGTTTGAACATACCTTGGACCACAAATGTGTACGCGTGCTTTCTGACATCTGTTTCCCCCAATGCGTTTCCCAGCTTCCCCATCACACACAGAGGATCATCGCCTATTGTGGTGATGATGGGATTGGAGCCTCTATGTATTTCGGCGGGACCTATGCTTCCAACAGAAGTTCTTTCAGGTCCCGTGCTTGCACCGATGCATATCCACCATGTTTGTTCGTGGATATTGGCTTGAGGCTCCGCTTCACGATCCAAGAGAGCGCATGGAAATAACAGGGGATGCGGTCGCTCACCACTTTCTGCATCCGCGCGTGGCCAACCATATGGTTGCACACTGGAGTTGTGTAATTGGTTTGCGGGGCCTTCCACCATGTGTTGGAATATTGCCCACAACTAGCGAACCGTTTGATTTGACTGGCTGATTGTTTGCATCCATCCATTGCCTTTTCAGCGACAGGCCGCTTGCCTGTCTCAAGTATACACGTCCAGTGGTTTTCCCCCTACCAAAAAAAAACATAGTCCAGTGCACAAGGTCTGAATCTGCGTGGAACGCCTGGTTTTCAGCGTGGTGGTGAAGACATACGTGATGTGCTAAGTCATACACTCTTCCTAAGTTTGCCAAGTCACGTGTATGTACCCCTTTGCAGAAAGACCAAGAAGGTGTGCTCGCGTGGTGGTCTTATCTTTGCCGTGTTCCTTCTTTGCCTTTCCACCAGGGCCTCTTTTTGGATACGGCCTCCATGATATGTTCGTATCGCCTCTATAGATCACCTGATGAGATAAATGATGACACGGTACCGACTTTTTCTATAAAAGAAAAAACGTCGGAACAGCAATTTCATAATTCGACGTTTGTTTAAAAGCTTCTACCATCTCCAAGCCATGTCCAACATTGAAAGATAGATCTTGAAGTGCAGTATGTGCTTGCATCTCTGTAGAACGTTCCGGGGGGCTGACGATCCCCAGCCTTCTTTCTTGGGACATCGGGTCGTCAATATCCGGCGCATTCTAACAACATTTGAACAGTTTGTACCCGTTGGGTTTGCAGGATTTGTCCAGTGTCGTTTTGTCTTCCGTCAGTTGAGCAATTTGATTGCTGGATTGCAATAAGGCGTCCAACGTGTTTGACGAATCGCCGACGGCTTGCTTGACCGCTTTCTCTCTTTCTGGGGACAGCCTTTTGGCAGTTTCCTCCACCACTACAGCCAGCGCTGCATTCTCTGGCGCATCGGCACCAGTCAGCACCAGCTATGCTTGGACAGGCGTTAGCTGTCCTCTGGGCAGTTTGGGGCCCCTTTCTCTGTCATCTGCCGGGGACCCCATCAGGTCTTCAGCGGTTACCTTTGCCATGTTGGTACGGCCGTAGATCACAACGAAAGTGAAGTACAACCCTCACACCCTCACGTTCAGTGAAATGCGATGGCTTCAGCCTCGACCGACGATGTTTTTTTTGTGCAGCGCCGCGCCAGAACTATTGACGCGCCTCCTCCGGCACCCAGAAGAGGAGCTTTGGGGCTTGTGAGCATTGCGCCGCCAACCGCGCAAGTGCACCCACGTTCCTGCGCCCCCGGGGTCCTCGCCTCGCCTGCTCGCCAGTACGCCTCATCCTCCGCCTTTTCCAGGCTGTTCGGCGGATCGCCCGACTTGTAATTTTGACCGTTGGTCTCCACAGGCGTTCAGCGTGCGTCGGTTTCCAAGACAGCTCCACGCGGAGACTGCGTGCCCCTTGAGGGTATCACGGGTATCGGACGGATTGGGTACATCCCCAGCTGATGAGTTCTGGTTTTGGGGTGTTGGTGCAATTGCCAAATGGGTGTTGCTTCTTCACGCGAGGGCGCTACTCGGCATGCTCTCTCCCAGAAGGCGCATGGCGAACGAATGCCTCTCGGCGCCCCTTTCATTTCACAGGACAGGAGGGGGCGTGGCCAATCATGGCCAGCATGTTCAAGCCTCATGTTCGCTGCAATGTGAAAGCTTCAACCTCGACCGACGATGTGTTTTTTCGCATCACCTCGCCAGAACTAATGACGCGCCTCCTCCAGTAGCCATAAGAGGAGCCTTTGGGGGTATGAGCGCTGTGCCTGCTAAGCAATCGAGGTTACGGACTGTTACTATTGTTTTTCCCACCCACCTCCCCAGACGCCAACCAGTAAAGCTCAAAGTGTGAAAATGGGGACCACTTGCGCGCCACGCGATTCGGATGCAAATTGGCATGCCCACACAATTTCTTACGTTCTGTGGGTGGGCTACTGTAGTCGGCGGCGAGCCTGGGGGGAAGTGAGAAGGGGCGGGCCTTCTCAGGAGGCTCGGAAGTCTCCTGGCCTTCTGAGAAGTTTTCTGAGCTTTCCCCGAAGACACAAAAAAGCAGCCCTCAGGAGGCCAGAGGCCTTCTGAGAAGCCCCGCCGCCTTCTGAGAAGGCCGTCTCCTTCTCACTCCCCCTATCGCTCGCCGCCGAGCCAGGATCTCAGTGACCCGCGGGTGTCGATTCATTTCTCGAGAGATCGTCGATATGACAGCAGGGGTCGACCTCAACGGTGTTTGGGCGATTTTGTAGGCCGTTTTCGTTTCGATTCCGTTTTGCAGCAAGGGCAAACAAAATGGAAACGAAAAACGTTGTGTTGGTCGAGTTTGGGTCGATTCTTTTTCTCGAAAGACCGTCGATACGACGAGTTCTTCCCCGCAGCTTCAGGCTTCCAGGCGGCCGTTGCAGCCGCCCACCCCATGAGGTACAGTTGGGGCACTGAAGAAGGATCTCTTTTCGTTTGGAGAGGGCCCAGTGTTCCTCAGTTGTTTTGCAGTTTGCCTCAGCTTTTCTTCAGGTATTCGATGCGAAGCCGAAGCTCAACTTAATGAAAAAAGAGGCCTCGTTCCCTATCTGGGGCTCCTTAGGTCAACGCCCCGACAGTACCTTGGGAGGCGCCTTCCGTCGAGCCCAGCTGCGCCCACCTCTTTCTGCGGGGCTTCTCTGCGGCGAGCACGGCTCCGCGGGGCGGCTGCCCGGGGGTCCGGGTGCACCGCTGGCGCTGGGGGACTTGCAGTTCGTCCGCTTGTCGGTGCGTCCCCTGTCGATTCGTTCTCGTTCGCTCCGTCCTCTTTCGTTTCGTGTCCTCTTTTGCCTGTCGCCCGGACGAACCGACAAGGGGACGAATGCGTCGTCGCGTCATGGGAGGGGCGATGAACGAGGGCTGCCGCAAAGAGGCCCTTTGAGGGCCCTTAAAGGGGCTCTTCGGGGGCCCAAAGGGTGGTTTTCGGCGCCCGAAAAGTGCAGCTCTCCCCCCTCGCCCCCCCTTTTATCGCCCCCCCGGGAAGCGACGCCAAGGGTGCTCGGGAGCCTTGAGACGGGGGTCAGTGCAAACGGGGGTCAGCCAGGCGCTGGATGTTGCAGGATCTTGCAGGATCTTGCAAAGCCCGGCTGACCCGAGCTTCGATCGACCCGGGTCTGTAGATCCCCGAGGTGCTTTTCTCAACTGGTACCCACCGGGGGCGTCTTGATGCTTGACGCTTCGCGTATCCATACCATCAATTTCAGAGTGGTTCAGCCTTCCGTCAGACGCGGCGCTTCCCCTGGACCCATTCCAGCCATTCAGGCAGGTTTCGACGTCACCTTGGCAGCTTAGCCCCATCAGCTTGCACACGCCGCTGGTACAGCCCTGGACCTGGCGCCCCGCTGGCGACTGGTTCATCGTTCACCTCGCCTGTGCGTACCCCAGGCGTGCGAGACGCGTAGGCATCTGCGCACACGTCTTCGCGCTCTCTGAGTGGGTCATGCCGCATGGCATACACGGAATTTCCTGGCATTTTGCCAGGCTGCACGTTGCCCGAGCTTCCCTGGATGCCCCCCAGCCTGTCAGCTTTCCCGCGCAGCACAGCAGCTGCCTGGTGAGTGTGCCCGGCCGGCCTGCGGCGCTTCCAGTAGTTAATTCGGCCGTTACCGCGCCCCGGAACGCTTCTGACTCCGCCTGCGCCTTCGCTTGCGGACGCGACCAACAAAGAAAGTATCCATACCATCCGGTGTCGAGTTCCTCCATCGTTCCCCTGGCTGCCTCGCCCGTGTATGGCGCCTTCCGTGGCCGGACGCTCGCAGGATCAGTGTTCCTCTCCAGGGTTTTTGGTGTGCGACTTTGGTGGCACCACCCAGTGCACCAGTTTGGGCCCTGTCGGGCGCCCCTGGCTGTCTCCCCTGTGTACCGACTGGCCCCTCCCTGGTCACACCTTGGCAGAGCGCCGCGCCATTTTGGCTGCGTCCCAACCGCGGTTGGCTAATTCGCTGCAGCTCAATTCACACCTGGCGACCCTGCTCCCAGGTTGTCGCACGCTTGCAGCCCCCTGGCAGCCCCGGCAGCTTGCAGCCCCGCCCCCGGCTCCTCTTGCTGCCCCGGAGCTGAGGCTTCGGCGGTAGGTCCTGCTCTGCTCCGCGCTGGGTAATTAGGCCCCCGCGCGGCCCGCTCGAACCTTATTCGCCGTTGGCGCGCTCGCCTACGGTTCCAAACAAAAAAAATATCCATACCACCCAATCCAGAAACGGCACGGCACGTAGGCGAGGTGTCGTGAGAAGGGAAGCGGATGAGCGTTGGTGGAGCGAAGAGTGGAGCCACCGGTCCAAAAGAACTTGGGGTCAACCCGAGTAGCCCACCCACAAGGATGGCCAGCATGGGGACTTTGGGGGGCCTCTTGGAGGCTTCTTGGGACCCTGTTGGGGCACTCTTGGGCTCCATGTTTGTAGACGTTGGGGTTCTCTTGCAACTGACCTGGTGTGCTCTGGTTGACCTTTGAGGCCCTTTTGGGGGTTGGGAGGCTCAGCGGCAACCCCGAACCATTTTAGGGCTGTCTTGCGGAAGCCAATTCGGTCAAACTAGGGACATCATGGAGGCCACCATGGGCTATCTGGGGACATTTAGGATTCATATTGAAGGTTCCGTCTGATCACAATACCGCCCTATCCAGAACCCTTGGGAGCGGGTAGGGGGAGGCGCACCGTAGATGAATTCCCGCATGAGAAGTAGGGATTTATCTTGAAGAGCTGATCTGCTGGACGTAATACAAATGCCCAGAGGTCTGGTGCGGCTTCCATGTATCCGTGCACGTCTGAAGCGTCTAAATGGGCTCGGAAATTGACCCTTTTCTATCTGACCTTGGGATGTACTCTCGGTATGGGTTGTAGTCACGTTTCTCGGCTTCGAGGTCCTCGAAGGTTCTCTGGCATTTGGGAGCCAAGAACCCAACGCTCCAGAAATATGTGCTCCCCAAATTTTTGGCAGGGCCAGCTGAACCCAACATTCCCGTCCTGGAGGACCACCTCGTCCCCACGCTGTGGGCCATCTTCGACGGCTACCTGAGGTGGCGAGCGCCGCCCAACTGAGCGGCGGGCGGAGCCATAAGAGGCGCGGCAGCGCCTCACATGGGCAAGCACCTCCGCTGGCTGTGAAAAGATGACCCGTTTGTCGCCGGCAGTCGTGCGCTGTCCTTGTTTCTCCTCCTCCTCCTCCTCCTCCACCTCCTCCTCCTCCTCCTCCATCTCCCACTCCTGGCCTCCTCTGGCAGCAGCGTGGGTGCAGGCCTGGGCAGGTTGTCGCGCCCTTCTTGCCCCCCAACCAGTGCTTGCACTGTAGGGGACAGTACTTCAGCTTTGGGCACCTGTCCTGAGGCGCCATGGACGGCCCGTGGTCGCAGCGAGGCTCCACACGACGCGGCGCAATTAGGACCCCAAGGTGTCCCACGCGCTGTGGCCTCTGGAACCTCATGGGGCTCCACAGGAGTGGGGGTTCGCAACCATGGGGCTCGCAAAACGCAGGGCCGCACACGCACACACTTTTTAAGCACGCGAGCGCCAAGTGGTCCAAGACAGTCAGACGCTGGTCAGCCAGCGGTGGGGTGCACACATACACACCTACACACAAATACACGGGATTCGCCACGCATGGGGTTGCACGCTCATGGTGTCTCGCCACACGCGGGATTCGACACGTGGGGTTCCACAGACATGGGGTTCGCCCTCGATGGCGTGAAGTTGTTCGCGCTTCGCGGTTCGGCTCCGATTCCTCCTCATCTCTTCTTCTCCCTTGGGCGGCTTCGCGCTCCCCAGGCCCTCAAGTTTTGCATATATCCGCTTGAGGTTTAGTCATGGACAATGAAGCAGCAACATTGGACATCTATATATATACATATGTATAGATGAAGATGTGTAGATTTAGACATATGCACTTATATATATATATATATATATACACGTACATATACGTACATGTATACATATATATACAGACACATGTGTGCACATGCATGTCCATGTAATTCATTTACATATATATATACTACATTTATATACATATAGATGTATTGCGAAGGCCTTACGGCCGTTGCCGCCGACCATGAAGATGACGGAAGACAACACGAGGGGGGGGGCAGGAGGAGGAGGAGGAGGAGGAGGAGGAGGAGGAGGCGGAAGGGAGTAGGAGGAGGAAGGGTGAAGGGGGAGGAGGAGGAGGCCTTATGGATGTTGGTTGGGATCTCGTGGTTGACCTCTCGGGGGCGTCTGGAAGGCAACTTGAAGCCTCTTGGGGGCCGTTGTGGGGCCTCTTGGGGCCTCTTTTGGGCCTCTTGGGGCTTCCGGAGGCCGTCTTCGGCGCATCTTGGGGGCGTCTTGGCGCCGCTCGGGGGCCTCTTGGGGCCTTTTGGGGGCCTCTTGGGGCTTCCCGGGGGCCTCTTAGGGCGGAAGTCTCGAATTCTCGGTTCCTCGTCCCCCTCTTGGCCGTTTCTTGGGCCCGTCTTGGGGCCCTATTGGGCCGTCTTGGGCGCCTCTTAGGCTGTCCTGGGGCCTTCTTGGGCCGTCTTGGGGCCCTCTTGTAGGCCTCTTGGGGCGCTCTTGGGGGCCTCTTGGGGGCCTCTTGGGCCGTCTTGGAGTGTCGGAAAGCCGAAAAGGCGAGAAGGCCAAAATCATTCAAAAACCGATGTAAAATTTACGATTTTGGCGCCTGGGGCCCTCTTGGGTGTGCTCTTGGGGCTCTCTTGGAGCGTCTTGAGGGCCTCTTGGGCCGTCTTCGGGCCGTCTTGGGCGTCTTGGGGCCATCGTTCGTCGAGTCGAGGCCCTCTTGTACCCTTTTGGGGGTGTCTTCTGTCGCTCTTGGCTCGTCTTGAAGCTTTTCTGAGCTCCGGGACCCCCCGGGGAGGATGCGTATCTGGGTGGCGACCCCCCCCCCCCCCGGCGGGGAGGGTAGGGAGGGGCTTCGCCACGACTCAACTACGACGTTGCTCAATGTCGCTTTGGCTCGCGCGCTCAAGGAGACGGGGAACGACAAAGACGACGAGGGACAACGGAGACGGAGACGACGAGGACACGACGGAGACGACGACGACGACGACGACGACGACGACGTGATCCACGCAAGACGACGACACCGGGATGCGTCTTCCACACGCCGACAGGGTCGGCGGATTATATATATATATATATATATATATATATATATATACATATATTATATATATATATATATATATATATATATGGTCCAGGGCTTGCCCCCCCCCCAATGCTGATGCCATTGGGCCCCCCCCCCCGCGCGATGGTCCCCCCGCCCCCCCTGTGGGCGTGGCGTGGTGCTGCGCTGCGGTGCCCCCTCCCCCCCCGTGGATGTGGTGTGGTGCTGTGGTGGTTCAGGGTCGTCGTCCTCGTCCTCGTCCTCGTCTCGTCGTCCTCGTCGTCGTCGTCGTCGTCGTCGTCGTCGTCGTCGTCATCGTAGTCGTCGCCGTCGTCGTCGTCGCCGTCGTCGTCGTCGTCGTCGGTGTCGTCGTCGTCTCTGGGACCATACCATCTGGGGGGGGGGCCTGAGGAATCCTGGGACCATACCATCTGGGGGGGGGGGCCCGTGGGCCCGGAGCCCTGGATCATATATATATATATATATATATATATATATATATATATATGCATCCCGGCGGGGCGGGGCCCCCTGGCCGGGCCCAGGTACCTCCGCGAAGCATGGGGGGACAGGGGCTCCGAGACCGCTTCCAAGCGCGCTCAGGGGTCCAAGAACCGCCCTCAGGAGCCTTTCAATCGCTTCCGAAGGCGCCCCGGGACAGGAAAGCACCCCCTAATCGCTGAAAATGCCGCTCCACGACGGTCCCAGAGCGTTCCAAGATCTTCACGAGGCCTCCCGGGATCTGCCCTAGGCAGCCTCCGAGGCGCCAAAATCGTCAAATTCCGATGAAAAAAACATGTAGTTTCAGCATGTGCGCCTCAGCCTTGTTCAATGCCTTCAACGCCGCCAAAGAGCCCTCCGAGCCTGACCCAAGACGCACCAGGAACCCTCCGAGAGAGCCCCCAGACGGTCCAAAAGCTCCCCAAGACAGCCCCAAGAACAGCCCAGAGGCGCACAAAATGGCCCAAGACGGCTCCCAGACGGCGCCAAGAGCAGCCCATGAGAGGAAGCCCGAGCCCACGGATCCACCTGCCCGACACAAGGTGCCCCCAGGAGGCCCCCAGAGGGCCATGACAAGCCGTCAGCGGTCCCCCGAAGAGGCGCGTCTGAGAGGCACCCACAGCGCCCCAGATCTCCGGCAGGCACGCCTGAAGGCAAGGTTACGCATGTTTACACATGTCAGCCAGCATGGACCCTTATCATTAATTTATCCAGCCCCTCCTCCTCCTCCTCCTCCTCCTCCTCCCCCTCCTCCTCCTCCAGCCCGATGCCAGCATGTCAGCCAGCATGGACCCTCATCATTCATTTATTGAAATATCTGCGGTGCAATCCATGTGGTGCGATCCATGTGGCGCAATCTAGGTCTTGCAATCTGCGTGGCGCAGCTGATGTGACGCAGAGCAGTGCAAACCAGTGCAGAGCCTTGCAGAGCGATGCAAACCAATGCAGACATACGTAAATCAATTCACCACATTACAGCGCAATGTACAGCAATGATCAGCAATGGCACGCAATGCAATGCAACGCAGAGCAACGCAACGCAATTCAACGCAATGCAAAGCAACGCAATGCGATACAAAGCGATGCAAAGCAATGCGATGTCAAGCAATCCGACGCACTGCGAAGCAATGCAAGGCTTGCGATGCGAACGGGGGTGTTGCAACGGGGGGGGAGTCAACGGGGCGGCAGGACGGACGGCACTTGGGCCGCCGGGCCAACAGACGGGCCTTGCATTGGGGAAAATACTGCGGCGACGGACGGGAATGGGGCCGCCAAGCCAGCAGACAGGTCCAGCTTCACAGAAGCGAAGTAAGAATTTTTCAGTGCAAGCACTACTGGGCGAAACTGCATATATGTATAAACATATCTCATATCTATAAATATATATATATATATATATATATATATGTATACACCGATTACCGTGTCTAACGACATGTGTATGTATATATAAATATGTTTATATACATCGGAGGTTGGAGGGTGAGATCGCAGTGAAACGGAGACCCCCCACCCGTGAAATCGGTTTCGGTTTCGTGTTCGTGTCGTGCGTGCGGGCGAGGCGAAGCTGCGCGTGATCCTTCTGTAGCTAGGCCGAAGTAGGAGCGAAAGTCCGTTTCCCGTCCGCCGGTTGCCGGGAGGTGTCCCAGTTGGACCGGGCGGTGTCTCGGGTGTCCCGGGCGTCCCGGCGCTAACGCATGTCGCTAATTTAATAATTCATGTTTTCCGGCGCCTTCGGCGGGTTTTCTTATCCAATCCAGCTTATATTATCCAATACATTTTGTCCAATCCAATACATCTTATCTTTTCCAACCCATATTGTCCCATCTTATCTTATCCCACCCAATCCAATCCACCCAGCCCAATCCATCAATTCATTTGTTTTTGCGCTTGCGGCGGGCCAATCCAATCCATCTTATCTTATCCAAGCCATTTCTTCCAATCCAACCCATCTTATCTTATCCAATCCATCTTATCCCATCCAATCCATTTTATCCCATCCAATCCAATCCACCCAGCCCAATCCATCGGGGCCCGAATCTCCGATTTCATCGGAGGTGAGGGGGTGAGATCGAAGTGGAACGGAGAGCCCCCCTACCAGGAAATCGGTTTCGGTTTCGTCTTCAAGCGTGCCGTGCGTGCGGGCGAGGCGAAGCTGCGTGGGCGGGCGAGAAATAAGTCTCCTGTAGCTGAGGCGCGGCCGGACCAAAAGTCTCCCTTCCAGCAACCGGTGCCCCGCGGTGTCCCGCCGGTGTCCCGCTTGGGGGCCGGTGGCGCGCGGTGTCCCGCCGGTGTCCCGCCGGTGTTGCGTCGGTGTCCCGATGATGATGATGATGATGATGATGATGATGATGATGATGATGATGATGATGATGATGATGATAATGATCATGATCATGATCATGATCATGATCATGATCATGATGATGTTGACGATGTTGACGATGATGTTGATGATGGTGATGGTGGTGATGGTGGTGATGATGATGGTGTCCCGATGATGATGATGATGATGATGATGATGATGATCATCATCATGATGGTGATGTTGACGATGTTGATGATAATGGTGATGATGGTGATGGTGATGATGATGGTGCCCCGATGATGATGATGATGATGATGTTGCTGATGATGATGGTGCCCCACGATGATTATGATGATGATGATGATGATCAGATGATTTGTTGATGATGATCAGATGATTTGATGATGATGATGTTGGTGCCCCGATGATGATGATGACGAGGTTGATGATGGTGTTGTTGATGATGATGGTGATGATGACGATGGTGCCCCGATATTGATGATGATAATGATGATGGTGACGATGATGGTGTCCCGATGATGATGATGCCGATGATGAGGATGATGATGAGGTGATGCTGATGATTTTGATGATGGTGGTCCAATGATGGTGATGATGATGTTGATGATGATGATGATGCTGTTAATGATGATGATGATGATGATGGTGCCCCGATGATGATGATGATGATGTTGATGATGCTGTTCATGATCATGATGATGAGATGATGATGATGGTGGTGTTCCGATGATGATGATGATGGTGACCCGGTGATGCTGATTTTGATGATGATGATGATGGTGACGATGACGGTATCCCGATGATGATGATGGTGATGATGATGTTGTTGATGGTGATGATGTGATGATGATGGTGTCCCGATGATGCTGATGATGATGTTGATGATGATGACGTTGATTGTGATATCGATAGTGAGATCGATAGCTAGACCGAATGTGAAATCGATTGTGAGATCGATAGTGAGATCGGTAGTGCGATCGATTGTGAAATCGATAGCCATATCGATTGTGAGATCGATCGAATGAAATAAATCGAGTGAGATCGATTGTGAGATCGATCGAGTGAGATCGATCGAGCGAGACGGATAGTGAGATCGATAGTGAGATCGATAGTGAGACCGATCGAGTGAGACGTTGGTTCCTCCCCCCCCCGAACCTCCTTATCACCCGAAGGGTGGTCGTATAGGTATATATGTGTATATATACATGTATATCGGAGGTTGGGGTGTGAGATTGCAGTGAAACGGAGACCACCCCTACTGGGAAATCGATTTCGGTTTCGGGTTCGTGTCGTGCGTGCCGTGCGTGCGTGCGGGCGAGGCGAAGCTGCGTGGGCGGGCGAGAGGAAATTCTCCTGTGGTTGGGCCGCGGCCAGACCAAATGTTTCTCCTCCGGCGGCCCGTGGCCCACGGTATCCCGCCAGTGTCCCGCTGGTGTCCCGAAATCCTCCTGTGGCTGGGCCGCGGCCGGACCAAATGTTTCTCCTCTGGCGGCCGGTGGCCCGCGGTGTCCCGCCGGTGTCCCGCTGGTGTCCCGAAATCCTCCTGTGGCTGGGCCGCGGCCGGACCAAATGATTCTCCTCCGGCGGCCGGTGGCGCGCGGTGTCCCGCCGGTGTCCCGTTGGTGTCCCGAAATCCTCCTGTGGCTGGGCCGCGGCCGGACCAAATGATGCCCCTCCCGTCAAACCGTGGCCCGCGGTGTCCCGCCAGTGTCCCGCCGTGGGTTGTGCATTTCAAAACATCGCCGCTTGCGGCGAGCTATCCAATGCAAGTCTGCAATCAAACCGACATGCAGACCGACATCACATCACGCTCACGTGCACAATCACGCTCACAGCTTCGCCACATCACATCACGCTCACGCGCACAATCACACAACTCACTAGACTCCGCCCCACAGGCATCGTCAGAACAACAATCACCACTTTTGCCCATTGCTGCCCCCTCCCTCCCCCAACCTCCTTATCACCCGCAGGGTGGTCGTAGAGGTGTATATATATATATATATACATGTATAGGGGCATCTATCTAAATTATTTGGGAGGGGGGAAGGGGGCCCCGGGGCCCCGCGAAGCCCTGATTTGAGTACCCGGCCTCTGGCCCCTTCCCTGGGCAGCTCTTGGCCATCCCGGGTACGTGTGGCAGGCTTTCAAATTGCTCCCAGGCGGCCCGAGGTCGCCACATCACGGGATAGCTCGCCCCTTGCCCCCCCGCGAGTATACACACATGCATGCATACCTACATTCAGATATGCATACGTACCTTTTGTGTACACACAGTTATGCATGCATACACACATGCGTGCATAACTACATACACCCGCACAGACAGACCTACCTACATACGTACATACATACAGGCATGCATGCATACCATATATACATACATGTATATGTGTACATACATGCATGCATGCATGCATGCATACGTAAATGCATGCATGCATGTACACATATATACATACCTTCACGCATGCATACCTACTTGCATGTATGCATACACCTACATGTACAGGCACATGACGACCTACCTACCTACCTACCTACCTACCTACCTAGCTACATACCTACTGACCTACCTGCATGTCGACCGACCTGCCGACCGACCTGCATACAGACATACACAGCCGTGGCAACAGTTTCTGCAATGTGCCATAACGATGATATCTCAGATCCCTCTTAAGATTCCCTAACATGGCATGATGACTGCGTCATTCGGCGGAGTAGCTTCCGATCCGCCTAATGCTTATAACTCTGTTACCCCAAAACCCGATCGGAAACTACTCCGCGCCAAACCCTCTGAGTCATTGAGCGGGATGCGCCCACGCGCGGAGTAGCTGGAGCATTTCTACTCCGAGCTGATCTGCGCTGATGCGCTATTGGCGAAGGCAGATTGAAAGAAACTCTCGTCACGGTGATGTGTACATATGTACATATATGTATAGAACCAACGCAGGATTAGGGCGGGTGAAGTTCTTTCGAATTTCCTTCGAACGTGCAAGGCTTGCCCCTCCCAGCCAAATAGGCGATGAGGACAGCACCGATGGGTGGGAGTCCGCATGTCCGCGTCTGTTCGTTGTTTATCCCTGCATGTCCGCGTCTGTTCGTTACGTTCTCCTCCTCATCCGTCCCCCATCCACCTCTTCGTTTCACAGGCCATCGGTCGCTGCCGCCAGTCTCAGCAGTGGTCCAGCAGTGGCCCTGCGCTTCTTTCCTCTCCCTTGTCGCCTCGTCGTCAGTTCCCCTCTCTGTGCTCGTGTCCTTGTTGCCGGCGTCCTCCGAGTATTGTGGGCCGGCGCGGCGTTATCCTTGGGCGTACGCCCGCGCAGTTAGCTTCAAGACGTCCTGAGATGCTCGCAAGACGGCCCAAGATGTTTCCAAGAAGCCCAAGATGGGAAAGTCTGCAGGTCCCCGGCGGTTCTCCCCCCAAAGATCGCCCCCAAGACACGCGAGATGACCCAAAGAGGCCCCCATAAGGCCCACATTCTGCAAAAGCCCACCCCCAGAAACTTCTAAAAGGCTCCCAGAGGCCCCCCCAAGAAGAGCCGAATCAGATCTTAAGAGACCTCCAACAGGCTTGAGCAAATTGTCGTGTACTAGACCCTAAGCGCGCGAAGAGCGCACGTGGATCCAATAAGTAGAATAGCGGCATCAGAAGATTGATACATACCTAGTGCCAGCGATTTGTATGCCAACGATAGAGCCGATGGATCGGTTGTGAAGCCGATAGAAAGAATATCAATCGATAGATACCGAGGTCGTTAGATAGGTAGATTGCGAATCCGATCCGACGCCACTCGCAAACCGAAACTTGTACCCATGCCCCCCTGCACCTGCAATCTCCTTCTCACCCGAAGGGTGGTCTTATAGGTATGGGTATCACACGGTCACGGTTCGATGACCTAGTACGTCGGCCACGGGAGACCAGGGAGAGGGAGGCGAGGGGAAGGGAGGGGAAGGGAGGGAAGGTGAGGCGTTGCAGGAGAGGAGGGGGGTCGAGAAGATGGGAGGGGCGGCGAGGGCAGGGGTCTCCTGACCAGGCCCTGATGTCCTGCACGGACCTGGACCCAGACCACAGGCGCGGCAGCCGCGCGTCTTCGAAGGGCAAGGCCAAGCCCAAGGCGATGCAGTCCAGCTGGCGCCGCGCCTATCCGGACTCTGCGGCTCAGCGCAGCTGCGTGGCACCTGGGGGTGCGAGAGCCTTGCGAGATTGCAGGGGTCTGTGCGCGTGGGGGGAGCCTGCCGCTTGTCCCAGCACGGTGCGCCAGCTCACGGGCCCACCTTCTGCGGGCCATGCTCTCATACCACTGCTGGACCGCGCTGGTCCCCGCGCGAGATCGGGCTCGTTTTCCCCATTCGTAGCATTGCTGGGGGAGGCAGTGGAGAGGAGGGGCATCGAGGAAAGGGGGGGGGGAACGGGGAGCGGGGACCGGGGGGAAGAGGGGGGGGAGAGTTCCGTTCGGTGGGAGGAGCGGTGGCGGGATTGTCTGCGCGAAGAGCTCTCCGTCATCCGCGAAGAGGTCGTCGATGAGTCGGCGTTCGAAGCTGCGGACCGCGAGAAAAAACTGTTTCGGAAGGCGTGCCGCGCGTCGCCTCGGAGGTTGCGTGGCGCGCGGCGGAGTGGAGATGGGAGAGGGCCGTGCGCGTCGTCGTCTGGGCCAGCCCCGAGCATGCGACCTGCAGCAGCTGCAAGGCCGGCGCGGCCACCGAGCGAGCAGCCCGCGGGAGGGGGTCCGTCTAAGGTGCCGCGTGCCGGTGACCCAAGGGGGGAGGGCGAGCACGCAGAGCCGCGAGGGATCAGGGCAGGAAGTGGACAGGGGTAGCTCCCGGTGCGGGCCTCCCGCTTGCGCGGCGCGCCAGAGTTGCCCCGGATTGCACTCAAGCCGAGTTCTGCGGGATCACATCCTGCCCCATGTAGATCAAGGGGTTACTTTGGATCAAGCAGGGGCTATTCTGGATCAAGCTGTTTCAGGGTCTTCCCGGATCACATGTGGGGACACCAAGCAGGGCCCTGCCCTGACCAGGTCCGTCCCGGCTGACTCGGGTACCCAAAAGACTTTCCCGCGGCCATGAAACATCCTGGAGCTACCGAAATGGAAACGGAAAGAACGGTGACGAAGACCGACAGCAGTTCTTGACTATTTTGAAGAGAATGCGCTGTCGGTGTTGCCGCGGACGCTGTCAGTTTGAGACATGACGCCGCCTGCCCAACAGCGGCCGCTGCCGCATGCGGACAACATCTACTCTTAGGCATTGTACAATGTGTTCTCGTACCTATTCTGGGCGCGCCAAGATAAGTTGGAGGGTGCCGATATTGTCCTATATTGGACAATCGCTGTAGCACGTTATCAGGTATGCCGCATGCTGCCCGAGAGGAGTCCAAATGGCCTGGGTCGACGTGCCTGGAACACGCCACGGGCGGGGTCTCGCCCAAGGCACGCCGCTTCCCCAAAATGTCCCCCCCTGAACTCCCAAAAAAGCATTCAGGACGGTCAGAATTTGCGGACACTTGTCTAGGGGTGTGTTGGAATTGTCCAGTCTTCCGGTTTGGATTTGAAACTTACACCGTGAGTCTCGAGCGTGTAGCGTGTCTGGAGTTACCAGCGAGGGTTGGCAAGCGAGGGGCGTTGTGTTGCAAAGCAGGCCATTTTGGACGCCGTCTTTCCCTCCCGTGGTGGACGTTGGAAGCCCCTTGTCTGGCCCACCACTATCCCGTTCCTCGGTCCCACTTCCGCCTCCCGTTCCTCTTCCCCCCTTAATACTTGCTCCATACCCGTACCCCCTGATGCAGGCCCTCCCTCACTCCGTCCCTCCTCCTCCTCCACGCACGCTCATGCCTCCCTCATCGCTCTCCCTTCCTTCCCTCCCTATTCGATCGACGCTCGACGGAGTGTTGCCCGATTGACGTTGGGTCGCCGAAAGTGCGGGAGTGTGTGACGCAGACAAGGGGAGACTCCTCAGAGGCCGAAGTAAATTTGATGAGCTGCTTTGATTAATCTGGGGTAGCCGTTGCGGAAATTTCGGGGGTGCTCATCTTCCCGGGGCCGACCCTGCATCGCGCCACCGTCCCTCCACCTCTCTCCTCGTCGCTCCCCTCCCGCCCCATTACCATATTAATTCTGGCCCTCCCCCGCGCTCTCATCCCATCCCTCCCTCCCCTTTCCTCCCCGCCTCCCCCCCCACCCCCCACGCACGCACGCAGGCACGCACGCACGCACGCGCGCGCACGCACGCGCACGCGCACGCGCACACGCACACGCACACGCACACACACACACACACACACACCACACACACACACACCACGCACACACACACACACACACACACACACACACACACACACACGTTTTGGCGATCCCGGCCTCGCGCGCGGCGACGAGGCGGAGAAAGTATGTCGGAGCAAATTAGCAGCGCGCGCGGCCAGCCCCTCAGAAGAAGGGGCAGGGATCCACAAGGGATCAACCATGCCATGCGCATACCCGGGCCCCACACACAGACACGGTCGCCTTGCGTGGTGCTTGGGCCGGTTGTGGGGCCCATGTTTTCTTGCTGAGCCGCGGGGCCTGTGCCTCGGGAACACCAGCCATCTCTTCTAGCCCACCCACCCCCGGCCTTACAGTCAACCCGCATAGTAAGGATGAGCGACTTTCCAAGGTTACCTTTGGGCCCATCATTGGCCGCTTTCGCTGGCCGCGCCCCGCTCGCAAATTGTCGACAGGGCCTTCGAAGGCCCTTGCATCCTTATGGTGCGTCCTTGTTTTACGGGTTCACTGTGTGCTGTTCCCCTGTGGCGGCGTGGGTCCGAGGCGGGATTGGCTCGGCCGCCGCCTTGCGGCGCCAGGAAGCACGGCCTCGGCGCAGGGCCTTTTTATTGCCAAAGACAGCTTGCGAAGCGCAAGCCGAGGCACATTAAACACACACACACACACATACACACACTTTGCAGTCGCAAGAAGCCGGGGCGGGAAGCCGCTCGAGCGCTCAAAGTCGCACGCCTGGCGAATGCGAACTAATGCTGAACTGAGTGAAGCTCTCGGGGACGGCCTGGAAGCCAGAGAGTTAAAAGAGAGAAATCGCTGGGCCCTTACGAGGCAGAGGTCAGACACACACACACACACACACATACACCCACACACACACACACACACATACACACACAAAGAACATCTCAAGTAGAACATCGATTACAGAATTGATGCACCCCAAGCTTGCTTTGTTCATCGAGGTTACGAAACAGACGTGGAAGGGTCATAGTTCTGTTCACATGACATGAATTGTCCGTCGATCTCTACGGCAAAGACAGCTTGGGGGGCGAATCCATTCTGCAGCCAATCTCCCTTGTGAACATCACAACAGAATAGTGGACGGCGGCCGCAGATCGACTTGCGTGGCCACGCGTGCAGCAGCCCGTGCGGCAGGACGCGCCCTGGCGCATGCTGGCCCCCCCGGGACAGTCTTGCGCGGCGGCTGGACGCCCCGCCTGTAACTTTCGGACCTGGCTGGCCGCGAGCCACGAGCCAAGGACGAGGAAGGAGGGGAAGACTGTCGGGAGGACGGGGAAGGAGGGGGAGGAGGACGAGGAGGGAGGACGAGCAAGGAGCAGGAGGAGGAGGCATTTGGAGGAGGACGAGGAAGGAAGGAGGAGGGCGAGGAAGGAGGGGAGGACGAGGACGAGGAAGGAGGGGAGGTCGAGGAGGAAGGGAAGGAGGAGGAGGAGGAGGAGGACGAAGAGGAGGAAGGAGGAAGGACGAGGAAGGAGGGGAGGAGGAAGGCCGAGAACCGAGGACGAAGACGAGGAAGGAGGGGGAAGGAAGGAGGACGAGGACGAGGACGCGGAAGGAGGAGGAGGAGGAGGAGGAGGAGGAGGAGGGGAAAGGCATGAATCACGAGTGGGATATGGAAGGATCGGGACCAGAGGAACTCCCCAGGGTCAGTTGAGCGCTTCCCCACGGCGGTGCCACACATATCTCCGATGACATCCCCGAGAGGTATGCAAGCCGGAGAGCAAGAAGTTGGTTATGTGGCATGGCGTCGGCATTGTGTTTATTGTGTATTTGGTATCGAAGGTGCCTGCGGTGAATCACCCCCGCCCCTGTCTTTCGGAAATTCCCATGCGGCCAAACGTGGGTCCGAAGTCTGGCCAAGCCAGTGGACTATGTGTTACCCAGCCGCTGTGGAACCTCTTGAAGGAAAACTTGGGGGAGGAAGAGAAAAGAGCAGGAGAGGAGAAGGAGGACGAGGAGTAGGAGGAGGAGGAGGAGGAGGAGGAGGAGGAGGAAGAGGAGGAGGCCTCTTGAGGCCCTCTTGGAGCCTCCTGGGGGCTTCCCGGAGCCTCTTTGGGGCCTATGAGGGGCCTCTTGGGTGCCTCCTAGGGCATCTTGAGGGCCTCTGGGGGCCTCTACAGGAAGTCCTGGGTCCCTCTTGAGGCGCTTTAGGCTGTTTGGGGGGCCGTCTTGGAGGCCTTTTGGGCCGTCTTGGGGCCCTATTGGGACGTCTCGCGGGCCTCTTGAGGACCTCTTGGGCCGTCATGTGGCGATCTTCAGGGCCTACGGGGCCGTCGTGGATCGTCGGAATCCTGGAGGTCCTCTTGGAGTCTTGGGGGCGCCTTAGGCCATCTTGTGCTGTCTTGGGTGCATCTTGGGCCGTCTAGGTTGGAGACATCTTGGCCGTATTCAAAGCCATCTTGGCCGTTTTGGAGGCCGTCTTGGGGCAGTCTGCAGAGGGACAACCGACGGACCACACATTTTTCTGGGCTTCCGGGGTGGCCGGCGGGCTGGGCCGGAGGCCTGAGGTAACTTTTGGGAAAGGCTAAAACAGACCAGCGAACGTCCAGGACGCCGCGCACCCCTGTGTCAAGCCAGCAGAGGGCGTCGGACCGAAGACGCTTGCGAAGAATCACCGTCACCCGCTTCCTTTTGGAACCGAAGATGTACCCGAACGTCGCGACCAGAGCTCGGCCAAGCTAACTATCGTGTTGTGTGTTCCCCCCAGACGTTGTGGAAACCCAAATGAGAACACGTGGGGGAGAAAGAAGAAGAGGAGAGAGAGGAAGGAAGGAGGATAAGGATAAGGATAAGGCCCTTGGGGGTCTGGTCTCACCGCCTACCGAGAAAGGCATGCTGACCCCTGGGTGGGATATGGATGCGAGCCCCCTTCACCAGCTGTAGGCTTGGGAGCCGCCTGAGGCGACGGGGCCTGCCTCCGTTGAGGCATGGTCCCCGAGCCTCGCAAGCAGGGGAACCCCGCTCGGTGGGCATTACGAAAGAGACTGCGGGCGAGCTTCAGCTGCCCTCGTGCGTCGAGGGCGCACTGAGCTCGCTGAGGGCCGTCTCTTGGGGGCCATTCGGGCTGCTTGGGAGGCTTTTTGGCTGTCTGAGGGCGGTCCCAGTCGGGGCCTTTCTGGGCCGACATGGGGCCCTCTTGAGGCGCATCAGGGCAGGTTGGGAGGCCTTCTGTGGCGTCTTGGAGGGTCTCCAGAGCCGTCTTGGGGCCCTCCTGGGGACGTCTTAGGGGCCTCTTGGGCCGTCAGGGGTTCATCTCGGAGGCCTCTTGGGCGCTCTTGGGGGCCTTCTTAGTGGCCTCTGGGTCCATCTTGGGCCCTCCGGAAGCCGAACATGAGCAAACACCGAACTCCTTCAAACACCTTGGAGAATCAATGAGTTTGGCCTCTTTGGGCCGTCCTGGAGGTCCTCTCGGAGGCCGCTGGGGCCGTCTTGGAGGCCTCTTGGGCTGTCTTGAGGCCATCTTGGAAGCATCTCGGCCCGTCTTGGAGACCTCTTGCGGTCATCTTGGGCTCTCTCGGGGCCATGGAAGCCGTTTTGGAGACCATCTTGGCCATCTTGGAGGCCATCTTAGGGCCGTCTTGCGTGGCAAGACCGACGGGGTACTAAATTTCGGCGGCTTTCCGAGTGGCCCTTGGGAACCTCTGAGATAACGAAAAAATGATCAAATCGGACACGCCGTGCAACATTGTGGCAAGTCGCAGAGGGCTGCGGATCTAGTGGCCTTCGGCCAAACCCGCCGCCGTGCCTGGGTTGTGGACCAGAGGCATCTCAAATGTCTCTTGGGGTCCCTTGGGAAGTTGTTTGGGGCCTCTGGGGGTCACCTGGGAGCCTCTTGGAGGCCTCTTGGGGGGGGGCTCTTGACATGTCAGGTTCGAGCTCCCCCTCTTGAGCTTCTCTTTGGGCCGTCTTGGGAGGAGCCTCTTAGGCTCTCTCAGGGACCTCTTAGGCCGCTCTGAGGCCGTCTTGGGCGCTCTTGAGATTGAACAGCCAACATGTTGAAGTCATGCAAAGACCTGCCTAGAGCTTTCCTGAGATTCTGGCATCTTGGCAGGCCCCCATGGCCTCGAAGACAGCCCAAGATCGGCTACGCGCAAGAGTGACCCTGCGCCGGAGTGGCCTGCGGTGCGGGCCCGCAAGGATGCCCTCAGAACGGGCTTACGCGCTTGGGCTTGGCCTCCTTGCGGCCCCCTGCACCGCGAAGCACCTGTCACTGATGCCCAGGGTCAATCTTGCGTGTCGCCGCGCGCCACAGGGCCCCAGGATCCGCCTGGACTGCTATGGGGGCGGGGCTCGTGGGGCCATCTGTGGCCGTCTTGGCGCCCTCTGGCCTCCTTGGGAAAGTCACGCGAGAAGGCCCAGGTGATTCGTCCTTTGGGCTTCTGCCAGGGGCGTCCAGGAGTGGGTGAGGGCCGGGGGCCGTGACATCTCCCAGATGTCATGGTCCTCTCTCTTTCTGTCAAGACGTCTGTTGACCCCCCCTCGTTCGCGCACATGCCTCGTGCCATAATGCGCCAAACCCTCTCTTCCTAGCCCCCACTTTGGCGCACCCGACTCTGGGCCTCTCAAATAGCCTTTACAGTGTTCCATACTGAGAGTACGAGGGGGCCTGAGGACACTCCACTCAGTGCCTACGGCGCGGTGACGGATTCTCGATCCCTTACGACCTTTGTTTTGGCCCACCCACGAGCCTCGGGATGTTCATAATAGCCTCAGTCGTGGACGTCTACTACATCACCGACGTCGTCTTGACGTTCATGACAGCGTACGAGGATGCTCCTTTCCTGCATCATGATTACACTTGTTTTGCGCTCTTTCAGTTCCTCACCCATACCCCCCCGCCGCCTAGCCATGCTAAGTGAAAAAAACTCCAGGATGAGACGACGCAGAAGCTAGTGACAGACCCTGGAAAGATCGCGAGGAGGTATTTGAAGTGCTGGTTCTATGTCGACTTCGTCGCCGCCATACCCTGGGACTGGCTCGACACCCGCTATCGGGGGGGCGTGGCGAGCGGGGATGGCGCGAATGGGAGCACTTAGAAGGTTGCGCCGCACGACCTTCCTGGTAGGACCTTCCTTGGAAGGCAACTCGTTCCCACGACAAGCCAAGCCGGAGGCGCAAACTTGGCGTACCATGTTGTTCGCAGGTGGCCCGCTCGGGAGTTAGAACCTGTTCAGGTAACCTCGTGGGCACAGTCGTGACAAGCTTCTGGAGACACGTCTGACCTCGGCGGCGAGCCCGGGGGAAGTGAGAAGGGGCGGGCCTTCTCAGAAGACTCGGAAGTTCCCCAGCCTTCTGACAAGTTTTCTAAGCTCTCCCCGACGACGCTGAAAACTCTTCAGAAGGCGCGAGGGCCTCTGAGAAGTCCCGCCGCCTTCTGAGAAGGCCTTCTCCTTGTCACTCCCCCGAGGGAGACGCGAGGGAAGGAACGTGCAGTGCTTGCGGAGGACCCAGACAGCGCATTGAAAAATCAAGACGGAGGGTATCCGCCGTTTTCGGCCTCCACGGGCCCTCGCCTGGCCACGGGGCCGCCAAAGACCGGCTTGGGACGGAGACCAAGTCCTGGGCAAAGGGTTTGGAGAACCCGGGGCCCCGTATTGCAATTAGCCTAGCAACAACCCAACCATATGCAGTTGTGAGTACCGTAATTGTGCGTATCGTCTTCTGTGGAGCGCCCTCTAGGGCCACGAAACGCTCTACTGGGCGGGGGAACCGCACGCGAACTGCGCCACTGCGACCTTCGGTTGAGCTCTCTATGGGGCCACGAAAAGTTGCACTGGGCGGGGGAGACGCATGCGGGCTGCTCCACTGGGACCTTCGGTGGAGCTCCGTATGGGAAAGGCTGTACTGGGTGGGGGAGACGCATGCGAACTGCGCAGCTGGCACCTTCGGTGGAGCTCCATTCTGGGGCCACGGAACTTCGTATTGGGTGGGGGGGACGCATGCGGGTTGCGACACTGGGACCTTCGGTGGAGCTTTCTCTAGGGCCACGAAACGCTGTACTGGGCGGGGGAACCGCACGCGAACTGCGCCACTGCGACCTTTGGTGGAGCCCCCTTCTGGGGCCACAAAACGCTGCACTGGGCGGGGGCACCGCCTGCGAACTGCGCCACTGGGACCTTCGGTGGAGCTCCCTATGGGGCCACGAAACGCTGTACTGGGCGGGGGACACCCATGCGAACTGCGCCACTGGGACCTTTGGTGGAGTTCCCTATGGGACCACGAAACGTTGTACTGGGTGGGGGAGACGCATGCGAACTGCGCCACTGCGACCTTTGGCCCCCTTCCACGAAACGTTGCACTGGGCGCGGGAACCGCATGCGAACTGCGCCACTGCGACCTTCGGTGGGGCTCCCTCTAGGGCCACGAAACGTTGTACTGGGCAGGGGAACCGCATGCGAACTGCGCCACTGGGACCTTCGGTGGAGCTCCCATGGGGCCACGGAACACTGTACGGGGCCGGGGAACCGCATGCGAACTGCGCCACTGGGACCTTCGGTGGAGCTCCCTATGGGGCCACGAAACGCTGTACTCGGTGGGGGAACCGCCCACGAACTGCGACACTGGGGCCTTCGGTGGAGCTCCCTCTAGGGCCACGAAACGCTGTACTTGGCGGGGGAAAGGCATGGGAACCGCATGCGAACTGCGCCACTGGGACCTTCGGTGGAGCTCCCTATGGGGCCACGAAACGCTGTACTGGGCAGGGGAACCACATGCGAACTGCGCCACTGCGACCTTTGGAGGAGCCCCCTGCTGGGTCCACGAAACGTTGCACTCGGCGCGGGAACCGCATGCGAACTGCGGCACTGAGACCTTCGGTGGAGCTCCCTCTGGGGCTACGAAACGCTGTACTGGGCAGGGGAACCGCATGCGAACTGCGCCACTGGGACCTTCGGTGGAGCTCCCTATGGGGCCACGAAACGTTTGAGGGGTGTGCCAAAGTGAGGGGGGTGACGGGAGAAGGGAAGGAGGAAGGAGGAGTGAGGAACGCGGGGCGTTGTTTCTTCAAAAGGAGGACCCAACACCACAGGATGGTTGGGAAAATTCAAGACATCGGATCTATGTGGATACCGCTACCCCTCCGTGGTTTCGGCTCTTTGTGTTTTTGCTGGGAGGCCTTCGTCGCTACGGCTGGACTTTCCTCGAGATTCTGGTCATAACGCACCCCCAGTGTCTGGGGAGTGGCGGCATCGGGAGGAGGAGCCCGAGGTCAGTATCGTCGCCCAGGGGGGTAAGTCGGCCAGCGGATCTCTGGGGAGTTGCCAGCCTCCAGGATGGCCGCGCGCGGGGCGCGGGGCCTGCCAGCCGGAGCAGGCAGGCTCTGATCGCCTGCATGTCAGCCCGAGGGGCGCAGAGACGATCGCGCTCCGCGCACGTCACGACCTGGGCTGGAGGGGCGCACTTCTCCAGGGCGGCGGTGCGAGGGTGCGAAGGTGACGGCGCGTCGCGCATCGCGGCGCGCGATGCGCTGAGTTACGGGAGGACGACGAGGCACCGAAGCCGCTGTTCCCTGGACCTCTCCCGGGCGGCAGTCTGACACGAATTCCTGAGGGAATGCAGCCGTGGCGACGAGGGCCCTCCAGGACAAGCACCGGTAACTATCGGTATCTCTTGCTCCGCTGCAGCGAGCTGACCCACGGTCAGTAGCTTTGGCAAAGAGTGTCGCGACGCCAGTTCTGGCCCACCACGCCTCGGCGCGACACGCCATCCGCGTCCTAGTCCCAGAGCGTCAACGTCTGGAGCCTTTCGGAGCGGAGCGACGCGCTGCCCGCCCGCAAGGCACAGCGCGTCGCCATGGCCGCCGCCACGACACGCTAAGCACAAGTTCCCGACCGTAGATGGTCTTGGCATCGCTCAGACGTGTGCTCTTCTCGCGGCGAGGAACATCTTGGATCACCTTGCGGAAAACTCGCACGAAACCGAAACATGCACGGGGAATGGACGGCCGAGCGATGGCAAGAGGCGGCCCCCCCCGCGCGCGCGATCCCCGCTCGCCCTCGCCCCTGGCCCCTCTGCAGTCCTCGAAGGCGCTCCGCTCCCTGCGCGTGGCGCGCATAGCGCGGTGCGTCCGGCTGCTGCGGCTGGGCCTCGTGGGCAGCCGGCTGGAGATCTTCTTGGAGGAGAACCCGTCGCTGAGCTTCGCCGTCGGCGTTCTGAAGGCGCCATCCCCCTGCCACACCTGGGAAAACCCTGACGTCCTCGCGCTGCGGAGGAAAAATCAGCACGGAAGGTTTCGGGCGGTTCTCGGCCTTTGGGGGCTCGTCCAGGGCCCCGGGGCCAGGAAGAAGATACTCAAGGTCAAAAGCTGGTCCCAGGGAAGGGGTCCAGACCTCTGGGGATCCACGTTGCGAAAACAATCACGGCATCGGATGTCTGGGGAGATGAGGGGGGAGAGCAATCAAGCAATCGGTCAACGAATGATTGACGAACGACGAGTTTTCTGCCGGCAATGCACGGCGCAGTCGCACGAACACCATCTGGTGTTTGCCGCCAGCCAGCGCTTGCTGGGCTGACTGAATGTGTAGAGGCCCCTAAAATGAAGTCCGAGCAGATGGGGTCGGAGGATCGCGCCGCATCGCCAGTGCATCCTCGATGGATCGGCCATGCATCGGCGCCGTCGACGTGGAGAAAATCGGGCTCCGCATCGAGCCGCATCGCCGATTCATCGGCGATGCGGAGCGATCCTTCGACCCCATTACTCAGACCCCACTTGTGAGGCCTAGAGTGTGGATCCTGAGCCGCTTCCCCCGTTGCCTCCTCTGCAGGCCTCAGGGCGCGCCGCTTCCTGGCCCAGGGCCGCGCGAATTACAACTGGGGATGACAACCAGGCCCCAGGGAAGCGGTCGGCAGGTCCAAGAGCCCGCGACTCGAAGACACCGAGTCGTCCGAGCTCCGGGCGCCCCCCCACTGCCCATTATACCCCCCCTCACCTCCCCCCCTGTCCCCCTCCGCCCATCCCCGTCCTTCCGAGGTCCGGGGCGCCCCTGCTTTACTGCCCCCGCTGCCCTCCACCTGTCTCCCTGGGCCAATCCCCGTCCACCGTCCCCAATCCTCCCCTGGATGCACCCAACCTCACCCTCATGTTGCCACATTTCCCCTTCGGCTGTGCTCAAGAGTTATCTTCCCCTCAGTGACATGTGGTGTGGGCCTACTTCGAAGGCCCCCCCCCCGTTCCCCGCCCCTTCCCGGGCCTCCGACGTCGGCGCGTTGGACCCCGGCGTGAGCGGTTCTTCGCCGCGGGCCCCGAGGCGGCCCAGGAGACCATGGAACACCGACCCAAGGGGACCGTATCCAGGCCTCCCAGATGGGATTCGAGCAGATGGGGTCGGAGGATCGCGCAACATCGCCGATGCATCGGCAATGCGGCTCGATGCGAAGACCGATGTTCTCCACGCTGGCGTCGCCGATGCATCGCCGATGTCGTCGATGCATCGCTGATGCAGCTGCGATGTATCGCCGATGTATCGGCGATACCGCGCGATCCTCCGAGCCCATCTACTCCGACCCCATCTGGGAAGCCTCTACCGTACTAGGGATTGCGTTGTACCGTGGCACCTTGGCAGGTGCTCTTCATGCTCCTCAGCATCACCCACTGGGCGGCCTGCGTGTGGTACCTCGTGGGCACCAGCAGCGGGGGCCACACCTGGGTGGACGAGCATCTGGACAGAAACATGACCCCCGCAAAGGTTGGCGGCGCGCAGAGGGGGCAGGGGGATGGGGGAGGGCTTCTTAGAAGCACCCCTGCAACCTCCTTCTAAGAAGCCTTCCCCCTGCCCTGTACCCCCTTTTGCGCGCCGCCAAAAAGCAGTACCTATCGAAGACGCCTACGGCGAATCACCGCCGCCCCCTACCTTGGTGGAAGCGCCTATGTGGCCGAACGTTGAGGCCAGACCTGCCAAGCTATCGGACCATGTGTTCCCCGAATTGGTTTGGAAAGCCTTCGGGGAACCCGTGGGCATCTTGAAGGTCATCTTGGCCGCCTGGAGGCCATTTTGACCCTTTCGGGTCTTCTTGGAGGACGTCTTGGAGGGCTCTTGGGCCGTCTTGGAGGCCATCCTCAGCGTCTTAGAGGCCTCTTCGGCCGTCTTGGAGGCCTCTTGGGACCGTCTTGGGCCTCTTGGGCGATCTTTGGGGGCACTTGGGCCGTCTCGGGCCGTTGGAAGGCCGAAAACAAGCAAATGCCACAATCCTTCAAAAACTAATGGGAAATCAATGATGTTGGCCTTTTCGGGCCTTCCTGGAGGCCCTCTTGGAGGCCTCTTGGGCCATCTTAGCTCCATCTTCGGCCGTCTTGGTGGGCCCCTGGCCCGCCCGACGCCGTCGGAAGCCGTTTGGGGGGCCTCTCTGAGCCGACTTGGGGCCTTCTTGGACTGCTCCAGGGCCGTCTTGGGGGCCATCTTGGGCGTCTTAAAAGCCTCCTGGGCCGTCTTGGGAGCCTCTTGGGGCCGTCTTGGGGGCCTCTTGGGCCGTTCTGGGGCCATCTTGGAGGCCTCACGGGCGATCCTTGGACGATCTTTGGGGGCGCTTGGGCCGTACCGGGCCGTTGGAAGGCCGAAACGAAGCAAATGTCAAAATCCTTCGAAAACCTATGGGAAATTAATGTTTTTTGCCTTTTTCTGGCCTTCCTGGAGGCCCTCTTGGAGGCCTCTTGGGCCGTCTTGGGCCAGTTTCGAGACAACTTCGGCCATCTTGGTGGGCTCCTGGCCCGTCTGACGCCGTCGGAAGCCGTTTTGGGGGGCCTTTCTGGGCCGATTTGGGGCCCCCTTGGGGTGCTCCAGTCTCAGAGGCCATCTTGGGCGTCTTGGATGCCTCTTGGGTTGTTTTTGTACCATCTTGGGGCCGTCCTGGGGGCCTCTTGGGCAGTCCGAGACCGTATTGGAGGCCTCTAGGGCGCTGTGGGAGCGATCTTTGGGGCTTCTTGGGCCGTCGCGGGTCGTCGGAATGCCGAGAAGAAACGAATGCGACAATCCTTCAAAAACCTAAGGAACATCAGTGATTGTAGTGGCCTTCGGCCAGTGCCGCCGATCCGGGTCGCTCGGGGTTATTCTCCAGACGCAGAAATTATGGGCGCACACTCAAACGCACACACACAGTCACACCACTTAACCTGCGCCGCAGACATGCGCACACAGCATCACCCACACACACATACTAGTTGGGAAACGCTCCTGTAGTACTAGTAGTAGTATTAGTAGTAGTAGTAGTAGTAGTAGTAGTAGCAGTAGTAGTAGTAGTAGTAGTAGTAGTAGTGGTAGTAGTAGTAGTAGTAGTGGTTGTGGTAGTAGTGGTAGTAGTAGTAGAGGCCTCGTTCCGCGGCTTCTCTCGACTTCCCGCGGTCTCTCTCAAGTTTCGAGCACGCGGTGAGTTTCACGATATATGTGTGTGTATGTACGCGTGCATGCATGTATGCATGCATTGATCATGTGTGCCTGTGTGTAGGTACGTATGTATGTATGTATGCTTGTGCGCGTATGTATGTATTTAGTTTGTATGTATGTTTGTATGTGTGTATGATAATATGTGTGTATGTGTGTGAATGTAAGTATGTATGTCTGGAAGATTGTTTTTCTATGTATGCAAATGTGTTTAAATGTAGGTATGTATGCATGTGTGTATGGATGTGCGTTTGAAGAGCGAGGATGTTTCAAAGAAGAGGCACTCGGTGACGCGATCGTTGAGGGATAGGAGTGAGGTCGCAGAGGAGGAGGAGGAGAATGAGGAAGAGGCGATAACTTGAAGGAAAACGATGAGACGGAGGACATCCTGCCGGTGGCGCCCTGGGCGGTGCCGCGGAAGAAACCGGGGGCCTGCCGGAGGCAGTCTGGAGGCCTCTGGGGAGCTGTTTTGGGGCCTCTTGGAACCTCTTTTGGGCCTCTTGTGGGCTTCTTGGGGCCCCTTGGGGGTCTCTTGGGGCCTCCTGGGGGCCTCTTGGGGCGGAAAGCTCGGTTCTTTCGGTTCGTGGTCCCCCTCTTGGGCCCCTCTTGGGGCTCTCTTGGGGCCTTCTTGGGCTGTCCAGAGGCCCTCTTGGGCCGTCTTGGGGCCCTCTTGGGCCGTCTTGGGGCTCTCTTGGGCCGTGTTGGAAGCATCGTGGGCCGTCTTGGGACGGACTTGGGGGCCTCTTGGGCCGTCTTCGAGCGTCGGACGCCCGAAAAGGCAAGAACGCTAAAAACCCTGAGAAAACCAATGAAAATCAACGATTCTGGCCTCTTGGGGCCCTCTTGGGAGGCCTCTTGGAAGCTTCTTGGGGCGTCTTGGAGACACCTTGGGCCGTCTGGAGGCCATCTCGGGCGTCTTGGAGCGATTTTTCGGCGACTCGGGGCCCTCTTGGAACCCCTTGGGGGTCTCTTGGGCCCCCCCCCTCCTCCAAAGCGCCGGAAAAAGCGGAGCATGGCGCCCCCCCCCCCCCTATCTTCCACTCCCCCGGAGCGGCCCCGGGGTTCGCCGGAAACTCGCACCCCCCCCCCCCCCCCCACCCCCCCTTCCCCGGCAGAGCCACCCCGGCGACCCCCCCAGAGGCTGAAGCTCAGCCTCGAGGCTGTAGCTGAGACTCCTTGAAACTCACACGCCGGATCGGCGGATTTGGGCCTCTTCGGGCCCTCCTGGAGAACCTCTTGGAGGCCTCTTGGGTCGTCTTGAAGGCCTCTGGGGGGGCCTCCGGGGCCGTCTTCGGCCGTGTTGGACTCTCTTGGGCCGTATGGGAGGCCGTCTTGGACCATCTTGGGCGGACTTGGAGGCCATCTTGGACCATCTTGGAGGCCATCTTGGGCCAGCGCGGCCATCTTGGAGACCATCTTGTTGGGCCATCAGGAGCGAAAAACATTAGAATTGCAGGCCTTCCGGGTGGCCGTCGGAACGGGCCGAAGCCCCAGGGGGAGTTCGTTTGGAAAAAGAACCAAAACCAAAACCGAAAGAGTCCAGCACGCCAGGCACCCCTGCGATGAATCGACAGGGGGCGGCGGATCGACTACGCCTGCGGCGAATCACCGCCGCCCCCTGCTTTTTTGGAAGCGCCTATGTGGCCGAACGTTGAGGCCAGACCTGCCAAGCTATCGGATCATGGGAGCGCGTGCGCAGAAATGTTTGTTGATCACGTCCTGTCGCTCCCTTTGTCTCCTGACATAGCCTTTGGCTCACGAGATCAACCGGTGAGCTGCGGGGCCGGCCGCCGGATGCTGAGCACGAGCGTGGCCCACTGGCAGTGGGCTGTGCTTTTGTTGCTGGCGAGCCTGCCTGAGGTTCGGCGACTGGGGCCAGAGCCCGAAAGACCCGCGCCGCCTGCGCCGAAGGGGCCGAGTGTGCGGGAGATTGTGGTCGACACGGTCAGCGAGCTCGAGACCTTGAGAGGCGGCGGAGCGCCGCCCCCTCCTGGCGACGAGCGCTCCAGCGAGCCCGTGCCGCGGGAGGACGGCTCGCGGGCAGCACCAGCGGAGCGCGTGCGCGAGCGTCCTGAGTGCGAGGCCCCTGGAAGCCAGTGGTTGGGCTGGTTGCTGGGCGGTGTGTCTGCGCTGCTGCAGCTTCGCGGCCTGTGGCAGAGGCGCGGTCTCGATGGCGCGAGTTCGGAGGAACGCTCGCCCGATGACGGAGACGGACGGCGTCGGCACAGACGAGGCCACATTGCCTAGGCTCGCGCCAGCCGCGAAGCACGAGAGGAAAATGCCGCGGCGCGAGCTGCGGGGGACCGTGTCGAGCACTGAGGAGTGGAAGGGGCTGATGGGCTGGAGCTGGCGCGAGACGGCGCCCGACGGCGACGGGCACGGGAGAGGGGCGGACAGCAGCCAGTCAGGCCTACGTCGGGTCACCTGGTCGGAGCGGGACGCCTCAGGCCCCCGCCCACTGCGGGCCAAGTTCCCCAGGTGGCCCGAGTACCCCGCGGACAAGCTCGGGTGAAGAAGGCGACTGAGCACTTCCGCGCGCTGGCCCGCGCGGGCACCCCGCGGCCACCGCCGACAGACTTAGCGCGCAGCACGGGTTCGGCGGCGGCGCGGTCTGCGAGAGAGCTGGAGGACATGGGCGCCGCCCTGGCGTCGCTGGAGCCCGCCAGGAGCGCCGCGGGAGCGGGCGCGCTACCGTTCAGGCGGGCGGCCGCGGGAAGCTGCTGGATCGCGCGCGGCTGCGAGGAGCCCGTCGTGATGGGCTTCGTAGTTGAGCCGATCGAAGGCGCGGACGTCGGCGTGAGCGAGTCGACGATGATGAGATGGCACGATGGCGAGCCTCGCGTGAAGTGCGCCCTGGCCAAGCGCGGCGCGTCGGACAGCGGCCCCCCAGGCCTGCGGAAGCACGGCGTCGAGAAGGCGAAGGACAAGAACGAGCTGAACACCGCCCCCTCTCGGAGCCCCGAGGGGGGCCTGCGAGGAGGACAGCGGGGACGGCGACGAGACTGAGATGGCGGAGGGCGGCGCAGGGCGCGACGGCGGCCGCGGACGTGCTAGCGGCTCCGCCGCGAAGCCATGACGGGCCAGGAGGCCCGGGCTCGAGCTCCTGGCCCGGGCCGCGTTCAAGTGGAAGCAGGTCGCGCCGCGCCATCTTCGGGAAGCAGAGACGCGTTCCCTTTGCCGCTGGAGGCGGCCCCTCTGCGACCCGATCGGCGCGGCGGCAGGCGGCCGGCGAGGCGGCCGCTCCGTCGGCGAGAGAGCGAACTGGTTGACGGCGCCCAACGGGCGCTTAATTGGACACATGGTTTCCAGCTCGGACATGAGGCTCAGCTGGAACGTGACGACACGCAGCAGGACGTTACGCAGTACGTGCACGGGCTGGCCCAGGGCGAGCAGCGCGCGCGCCGCCGCCTCGACGCCCCATCAGCGCAAGTGGCCCTACTGGAGTTGCTGCGCAGCCGATCCCTTGCATGGCGCGGGGGCGGCCAATGACTCACTGGCGCCCTTTCATCGCGGCCGGCCGTCGCTCCCTGAGACTGTGGAGGGCCCCCCTACATCGGCGACGTCTGCGGCAGACGGGGCCGCTACTCCTTGGAGCGGGAAGGCGAGCGCATGCTTGAGCCCGTCGGCGAGGCCGAGCCCGACCTCGCGCGCGACGGCACTCAGCGCTACTGCGATACCGCATTGGTGAACCGCAAGACTGTGCACACTGCTTTTTTGACGGACCTGATGGCGCGTGGTCTCCTCGACTTCACGCTGGGGCCGCTCGAGAGGGTCGGCATCTTCTGCCCGTGGAAGAATGGCCGTGAGCGCCAACGACTTATTCTTGATGCTCGGCGCTCCAACCGGCACTTCAGGCGGCCCCCCAGCGTGGGCCCGATCACCGCGGAAGGCCTGAGCGGCATCGAGCTTGATCTGGACGCCCGCGAGAGGCCCGAGAGCGAGCTGGTGGGCGACCTGCGCGAGTGCTCGTCCATCACGGTGGGCATAGCTGACGTGAAGGACGCCGCCCACCCCTTTCGGATGCCCACCTTCTTGCGGCTCTACTTCTGTTCCCCACCAGCTCGGAGCGGAGCCCTGGGGCTCGCTGGCGAGGCGGTGGAGGGGCAGCTGCTGACGGGCAACGAGCAGCCGTGGCCCTGCCCAGTGGCTCTCCCGACGGGCTTCTCGTGGAGCTTGTTCCGCTGCCAGGTGTCTGGAGAGGAATTCGCACGCCGCTGGGCGTGGACACCTTGCCGCGGGATCGCGGGCGGCCATTGGTGCTGGGCTGCGAGCAAAAGGGCCCCCTTCCGGCACTATCTTTACGTCGACAACATGGGCGTGCTGGGAACAGACGGGACCATGATTGAGAGGACGCTCGAGGGCGTGACCGACGCCTTCACCCGGAGGGGGCTGCTGGTTCACGAGCAGGCCGGAGGTCGACGGGCAGCTGTAGACGCGGGCGTCGGGCAAGAGGAGGCCGCGGGCCCGGCAGGCGATTGCTGGGCTCCTCCTGCGCGGGCGCTGCGCAGGCAGCGCGCTGGAGGTGTTGCTGGGACATATCACCTTCCTGGCAATGTCGCGGCGGCCTGTGCTTGCCTGCCCCCACGCCTGCTATGCCTTTGTGCAGAAAAATATCTTCACGCGAAACCTCTGTGACCTAGTGTGATTGACGAGCTTCGTGTTTTCCCAGGCTTGATCGTTTTCTTGCGCAGCGATTGGTTTCGACCTTGGAATCAGCTCGCAGTCGCCTCCGACGCCTCGGAATACGGTTTTGGCGGGACCGAGACGTGGCGGCCCCTTGGCCTGGCGCAGGAGACTGGACGGCGTCGCGAGAGGGACACGTTTTTGGTGCCCGAAGCCGCGAACGCCCGAGCTTCTGCCAGGGGGGGGGGGGCATCGTCGAAGGAACCTCCGAGGCCCTTTTGAGCCGTGTCGAGAGTTTGCTAGGAGCTGGAGGGTCTTTAGGTTGAGCGGCACTGCCCCTGGGCGTCTGGGACCTCGACTTTGAGTTTTCGGAGGTTTCTCGGGTCGGCTTGGACCCGCAGTTGTGAAGCTCGACTTGTTGGGGGCCCTGGCGTTGGAAACAGGGGGTTGTGCACCTCGAGGCCCGCGCACTTGTTATGGACCTTCGTAGGGTTGCTCTTCTCATTGTTGGACGGAGGAACCTTTGTGAGTTGCTGTTGGTAGATAATACGGCGGTCAGTTTGGCATTCGATAGATGTCGTGCAAGAGATTTTTGTGAATCAAGTGCGTCGTTTCTGTAGCTACTGCCTCGCGAAGAACATGCGCGCGGTGGCGCGGTGGATGCCGTCAGAGCTCAACAGCGCCGGCGGCCCTCCTCGAATTCACGACCCTTCGAAGGGAGTAGTGCGCACGTCCCGGGGGCCATCTCAAGGTTGATGGAGCGCAGACCTGCGACGAGAGGTCTGTTCTGGATGAGGCCACTGCCCCCCCCTCTTCCTCGTCGCCGCCCGGCTGTCCACCACCATCGAATCTCGTAGCCGTTTCGGCTCGAACCAGCGGGGCGCCTGCCCCTTCTGGCGTCGATCGAGACTCTGGTGCTCGAGCCAATCCGCGCTGCAGATAGTGGGAGCGACTCATGGCCGGCCGCGGGGAGGCCTCGGGGCGCCGATGACGCGCTGGACGCCGTCGGTGCTCTTCGACGCTGCGTCAGCGAGGGCCGCGGGCCTCGCGGAGCGGAAGAGGGAGCCGAGCGCGGCCCAGCAGTTGGCGTAGCAGCCGAGGCCAGGGCTTGCGCGGCTGCGGTCAGGGGCGGGCACCCCTCAGGGCGGGGGGTCAGCCCAGAGGCCCGCCCAGCCGGCGCTGGAGGCATCGCCGGTGCAGGAGCGGGACCCCCATCGACACCCAACTCGTCACAGCGTCTGGTTGGGGCGCTGCACAGCAGAGCATCTCCAGCAGCACTGGGGCGACGTCCGAGGGCGCCGAGCTGGCGGTCGCATGCAGAAAGCGAGCGCCACGGCGGCGGCTTCGCAGGCAACCTGCGGTAAGCTACGTGTCGGAGGCCTGCGAGCTGCTGAACGCGGAGGGCAGCTTGCTCGAACGGCTGGCCGTGCAGGAGACGATCCACGTGGGGCACCAGGCCGGGTCCAAGGGCCTGACCGACGCGGACGTCGACGAGTCGTTGGCGCGCCCGGCCGTGCAAGTCTTTTTCCTGGAAGGGCGGGCCTGTCGTGGGGCCAGGCCGACGGCCGCGCGGAGGCGCGCGGGGCCGCGGCTCGGGCAGCTCGGCGATCGCCGTACCCCATGGGCCGGCAAAGCTCCCGAGGGCTGGCGACGGGTAGCCCCCGCGTGGTCGCGTCGACCGAAGCTGGGTGGCCCTTGGGCTGGACTGGCCGACGAGATGGTGAAGCGCGGAGAGGCGCACGTGGCGCCGTCCGCGTCGCTCTCAGCGAGTGCTTACCTGTGTCTGAGCAGCCTCCTGGCGCTGGGACCCGAGAGCTGCCTGGCGACGCGGGGAGCCCACAGCTTTGGGAGCCTGCTGTTGCTGCCAGCGGAGAGGGCAGTTGCCGGCGAGATGGGCGAGCTCGGGCACCTGAAGATGTTAGACAGCCCCTGGCCCCAATTCATCGGGCCTCTCCGGCGCATCTCGGGCGGTCAAATGCCTCGAAAGGTGGTCTGGGAATTCAGCCACTGGGAGCTCCCCAGCAGAGTGAAGCAGCGAAGAAGGTGGATAGTGGACACCAGCGTGGGGAGATACACGACACAGGCGTGGCCCCGTCACAGCTGGCTGCGGTGCCCCTTAAGCCTCGGATTGCGCCTGCAGGAATGCGAGCGACAGCTAAAGGATGTTATCCCACAGGGCAGGGTCGCAACGCCCTGCAGCTAGAAGAGTCGCGAGGCCAGTGGTACATGGATGTCTTCTCAGGGACAGGCGGAGCCGCACTGGCCATCCGCCGCCAGGGTTACGCTTGTAGAGAGCTCGAGATTAAGAAAGGTTCTGATATTCTGCATCGGCCATGGCTGGCGAATGAAGTTGCTCTCGGACGTCCGAGCGGGGAGAATCGCGGGAGCAATGATTGCACTGCCCTGTACCTCTTTTTCAATAGCCCAGGCAGGGCGCCTCAGGTCGGAGCTCCAGCCAATGGGACTCCCAGGCTTGCCCTCCCACTTGCAGGCCCGCATCGATCACGGGAACGCCCTTCTCAACGCTAGTGCGCAGCTCATCCGAGCGCGCGTGGCCCATGGAGCCCCTTAGTTCCTTGAGAATCCAGGTAGTTCGTATGCTTTTAAAACCCCAGCCCTTCACGAATTGCTTGGTGCAGAATGGTGTTCCGAGATAGTGTGTGACCAGTGCCAGTACGGTACACGATGGAGGAAGAGAACGAAGTTCTTCGTAGGCAATATTTGCGCATATGATTGTAGTAGGCTGGTTAAGCAGCGCTGGGCCCGAAGGGGTCTGTGCTCCCGCACGGGGAAAGCGCATTGGCACCTTTTCAGGAAAATCCAAGACGGGAGTTCACTGGACCGCTAGAGCAGCCGAATATCTTCGCACCCTGGCCCGTGATCGGGCCTTTGCCCTTCTAGCCCCCACCAGATCTAAGCTTCGGGGGTGCTGACTGGCTCTGCTCGGATCTTTAGTCTCTTACTCGTCTTTTCCGTGCCCTGGTGCGCTCGCTTTCCAATCTTGTGATCATCTGGTTTGGGATGGTTCGGGACGACTGGCAGCGGCTGCGCGTAGACACTGCCCGTGAGACTCGAGACGTGCCCACCGCTGTGTGAGAGACTAAACATGGGAGTGCGCGCGCAGAAATGTTTGTTCATAACGTCCTGTCGCTCCCTTCGTCTCCTGACATAACCTTTGGCTCACGAGATCAACCGGCCCTCCCCCAAACGCTGTTTTTTCCATGTTTTATATGTGTATCGGTCAAGACTGGTCTCACCGTGGGACGACTGGCAGCGGCTGCGCGTAGACGCTGCCCGTGAGGTTCGAGACGCATCCACCGCTGTGTGAGAGACTAAACATGTGTTCCCCGAATCGGTTTGGAAAGCCTTCGGGGAACAGATGGGCATCTTGAAGGTCATCGTGGCCGTCTGGAGGCTATGTTGACCCTTCCGGGCCTTCTTGGAGGACCTCTTGGAGGGCTCTTTGGCCGTCTTGGAGGCCATCTTGAGCGTTTTAAGGGCCTCTAGGGCCGTCTTGGGGGCCTCTTGGGGCCGTCTTGGGCGATCTTTGGGGGCACTTGGGCCGTCTCGGGCCGCCGGAAGGCCGAAAACAAGCAGATGCCACAATCCTTGGCCTTTTTCGGGCCTTCCTGGAGGCCCTCTTGGAGGCCTGCTGGGCCATCTTAAGGCCATCTTCGGCCGTCTTGGTGGGCTCCTAGCCCGTCTGACGCCGTCGGAAGCCGTTTGGGGTGTCTCTCTGGGCCGACTTGGGGCCCTCTTGGAATGCTCCAGGGCCGTCTTGGAGGCCATCTTGGGCGTCTTAAATGCCTCCTGGGCCGTCTTTGGGGCCTCTTGGGCCATCTTGGAGGCCTCTTGGGCGATCTTTGGGGGCTCTGAGGCCGTCTCGGGCCGTCGGAAGGCCGAAAAGAAGCAACTGTCAAAATCCTTCCTTATATATATATATAAATATAAATATAAATATAATATCAATTAATTGATTGATTAATTAATTAATTAATGAATTAATTAATTAATCAATCAATCAATTAATTCATTAATTCATTAATTCATTAATTAATTAATGAATAGATAAATAGATAGATAAATACATACATAAATAAATAAATGTTGTTGGCCTGTTCTGGCCTTCCTGAAGGCCTCTTGGAGGCCTCTCGGGCCGTCCTGGGCCAGCTTCGAGACAACTTCGGCCATCTTGGTGGGTTCCTGGCATGTCTGACGCCGTCGGGAGCCGTTTTGGGAGGCCTCTCTGGGCCGTCTTGGAGGCCTCTTGGGAGCCTCTTGGGCCGTTTTGGGCCATCTTGAGGCCATCATAGGCCGTCTTGGTTGCATGTTGGGCCATCCTGGAGGCATCTTGGAGCCATCTTAGCCGTCTTAGAGGCCATCTTGGCCGTCTTGAAGGCCATCTTGGAGCCATCTGGGACGGAAAACCCTTTGCGACCACCTCTGGAAGATCTTTCGGCATCCTTTCAGGTGGCCGGCGGGACGGGCCGAAGTCCCAGGGGGAGTTCTTTTGGAAAAGAACCAAAACCAAAACCGATTGGATTCGGCACGCCAGGCACCCCTGCGATGAATCGACAGGGGGCGGCGTGGTGGCTTGCGGCCCATTCGGCCTCCGTGCCCTGTGGAGCTTTCAGGGGGAGTTCTAGGAATCCTTTGAACGAAGAAAAAACAATGGCATAAAGATAAACTTGTGGCGCTCCGCGCGGATTTATTGGATCCGCGCTGGGGCCCCCTCAGCGGCGCCTCGGGCGCCGCCCTCGGCGCGCTCCGCGCGCCAGCGAGGGGGGTCTAGCGCGGATCCAAGAAATCCGCGCGGAAGGCCAAAAGCTTATGATGTTCATGCCGTTGTTTCTTCTTCTATCTAGTGGCTGGCGGCCCATTCTGCCACCGTGCCTCGTGGAGTCAGGGGGTGATTCAAGGAATCTTTTGGGGGTGCCCAGGGGTCCTCCCGAGGGTCTCTGGGGGACGTGGGGGTCCTCTGGGGAGCTGCGTGGTGGGAAAGCCATCTGAGGCCCACAGTGGTCAGACCAACGTTTTGCGTCCCATCACTGCGGCGGTTGGGAACTCGTTTTGACTAGACTACTTGGCATCGCTCGGACGTGTGCATTTTTCCTTCGGCGAGGACCATCGAGGAGCATCCTTGATCATTTGGCGAAAGAGCCACGCCCGAAACCGACAAGAAACACAGGGAATGGACGTCCGAGCGATGGCGAGTAGAGCACGTGTTGGTCTGTCTCCCCCTTCCATCGCATCCCAAAGCGCGGCGAGCCGCGCACAGCTGCCGGCACGCTCCTCAGCGAGCCTCCTGGGAGGAGGTCCCGCGGAGTGGTGTTCCGAGCAGCTCCGCGCGGGGCATCGCCTACCCGGATGCTTCCAAACCGGGCAATTGCCGCCGCTTTCGCGAGCCGCTTGGAGGTCCAGCGGAGTGTCGGCGGCGAGCCCGGGGGGAAGTGGGAAGGGGCGGGCTTTCTCAGAAGTCTAAGCCTTCCCCGAAGACAAAAACAAAATTTCCAGAAGGCGCGATGGATTCTGACAAGTCCCGCCGCCTTCTGAGAAGGCCTTCTCCTTCTCACTTCCCCCCTCGCTCGCCGCCGAGAGTTGTGTCCTGCCCAGATGCGGATCAGGCCTGGCCTCTCTTTGCGCCGCCGACCGCGAAACGGTGGGCAGTTCCGCGAGCCACTGGGAGGTCCAGCCAAGTGGTGCATCAAGCCGGGTCATTGAATTCGGCGGCGGGCGCGTGGGGGAAGTGAGAAGGAGAAGGCCTCTCAGAATGCGGCGGGACTTCTCAAAAGCCCTCGCGCTTTCTGAAAGGCCGGGGAACTTCCGAGCCTTCTGAGAAGGCCCGCTCCTTCTCACTCCCCCCCTGGGCTCGCCGCTGAAAATGGCGTTGCCAGACGTATCGGTGGGTTGGGTACGTCCCTTTGTCATTCTCAGCAACTTCTGCGTTCGGAGGGCTCGCTCGTCACACCCCGAGAGCGCTTGGGAATTCTGGCAAATCGGGTTCTGGGCCCTTGAGGATTGCACGACGCACTTACCACTCACAGTCGCATGAGCCTTGGTGGGGCACTCCGCTATGTGCTCAAGGCACAAATTCGGATATTCATTGTATTTCACCTTGACGACCATGACCACCGTTGGGTACGGCGACATTGTCGCCCAGAACTTCGGCGAGGCTGCCTATTGAAGAGACCAAATCCAAATTATGATCATGCATGTCCACATTTCCTCATCTCTATCTCTCTCTCTCTCTCTCTCTCGCTCTCTCTCTCTCTCTCTCGTTTGTTCCTCGCTATCTCTCTTTTTCTTTGCCTCGCCATGCGCTATAGGTATATTTCGATCGCCCCATCCAGCCTCTATATTGATTATTTATTGATGCTTCCCAAACAGTGACAGTGATTGCCCTGAGGGATTCTTATTCCTGGTCTAAAGATCTGGGCCGGCGCGTCTACCTGGAGCTATGTCGCCGCCGTCGCCGCCACGTCGCCGCCTCGTCGCCGCCCGCCGTCTGGGCCTGCGCGTCGGTCTGGCCGCCTCGTCGCCGCCCGTCGCATTGGCCGGCGCGCCGCCCTGGCCGCCATGTAGCCGCCTCGTCGCCGCCCGTCGCCTCGTCGCCAGCCGCTTCGCATTGCTTTGCGCTGATTTGCGCTGCTGCGCATTAGTCTGCATGTGTTTGCACTGAATCGCTTCGCGTGTTGCGGTGCGTTGCGCAACATTGAGTTACATAGTTGTGGTTGCGTTGCTCTGCGATGCTGCGCCACATGGCTTGCACCATAGATGTTGCACCAAATAGATTGCAGCACATACATTGCACCACGTAAGCTGCACCACATGGCTTACACCACATACCTCGCATATGACACCACATAGGTTGCACGACATAGATTGCACCATATAGCATGCTAGAACATATTGGTTGGGGTCCACGTTAGCTAAGATGAAATATGCATACATATGTGTATATATAGCCATACAGACATACACATAAAGAGAGAGAGAGAGAGACACACAGAAAAATAGAGAGCGAAAGAGACAGAACGAAAGAGAGAGAGAGAGAGAGAAATCGATCGTTCTCGCTCCTAGCGAGGGATGGAGAAGGCGGAAGAGGAGGAGGGAGGAGGAGAAGCGGGAGGGGGCAAGGATGTCGAGGAGGCGGAAAGAGTGACGAGGAGAAGAAAGAGCATCCCCGTCCCCAATCCCCGCGCCCGCAGCCCGCGAGGTCTGCTTCGTCCTGGTCCTCCTGCTCCTCGCCTCGGTGGTCTTCGCCAGCCTGACGAGCCCTTAGTTATGCCCGGCCTGTTGATCAGCCCCCCCGCGCCACGGAAAGCTAAACGCAAGGTATTTCTCGGCTGCGCATAAGAGTGACCCTTCGCCGGAGTGACGCTCGGAATTGGCCTCCCCATTGACGCCTAATGCCGCGCACGAATAGTCACCCTTGCCTAGGGTCACTGTTGCGCGTAGCCGAATTTCACAATGCCCATCATCCCCGCCATCCCCGTCCTCATCACCGTGCTCTTCCTCGTGGTTTCCGTCATCCTCCTGTCCTTATCACCCTTCTCGATCATCATGGTCATCCCTCATCCTGGCCCTCCAGAGTGGATGGGGAGGAGGAGGAGGAGGAGGAGGAGGAGGAGGAGGAGGAGGAGGACGACGACAACGACGACGGCGACGACGAGGTGGATTGGTTTCCCGTTATCTGGGTCCTCGGCCCGAGAGCCGAACAAATAGAAGGCGAGCTTGCTAAGGATGGGAGAGCTCACGGACCTCATAAGGACCCTCAACGCCCAGAAGAACAGCCTGCACGAGGAGAAGGTGAGAATGCCTCGGCCTCAGCCTCCTGCGGTCAATAGTGTAGCGCTTTGACGCTTGTCCAGGAAGTAAGAAACAGACAAGCATAGGAGGAAGACAAGTGGTTCCAGAGCAGTTCTGAACGCTCTCAGACCGCTCCAGAAGTTTCTGGAACGGCCGCGGAAGTCTCGTGGGCTCTTGGGAAGCCCAGCGCCGTGACGTCATACACGGATCAGAATTACACCTCGCCCCTCCCTGGGGATCTGGAACTGCAAGATTGTTGCGACGGTCGCGGTGCTACGCGGATCAGAATTTGACCTCGCCTTCTTTGGGGTTGCGACCTGCAGCGAACTACGATACCACGAGGATCCGAACTAAACCTAGCCGTCCTTGGTCACTTTCGTGGGCTCCTGGGGGTCTCGCGCACTGCGGTGCTATGCGGGTCAGAAGTACACCTTGCTGCGAGCTGCGGAACACTGGCTGCTTTCGTGGACTCCTGGTAGTAGGTCCAGCGGAGCGGTGCCTAGACCTCCTTCTCTCTCTACCTGGGGGCTGCGACAAGGGAGTGTGTTGCCACTTTCGTGGGCTCATGGGGTGTCCTGCGGATTGGTGTCTTACGCGGGTCTAGACTAGACCTCGCAGATTGCAGCTAGACCTCGCCATCCCTCGGTGGCTGCGAACCGCGCAACTGTCGCCGCTTTCGTGGGTCCTGGGAGAGGATCCGGACGCAGCAGGGCAGCGACTGTCGACAGAGATTTTCCCTCACCTTCTCGACGGCTCGATAACTTCGGGTTTATGTCCCTTGGATCTCTCCTTCTTTCCTTACTCCTCTCGTGCAACGTGCAACCTCGTCATGCAGATGTCACGACAAACCGTGCCATGTCGCCACCCGACAAAGTTGCCCACTGTTGTGGCCACGTGTTGCAGAATGGTCGCGTACGTCGCCAAGGTAGCTTCTCGATGCAAATGCATTACAGTCGTGTCCGCCGACCCTGAAAAGAGATCCGCAAGAACGGAAGAGGTGGGAGGGGCGCGGGGAAGGGATCAACAGGAAAGGGCGACTCGATGACGACATTGCTCGATGTTCTTTCGGTGGCAGCGCGTTTGTTGAGTCCCGAGTGTTAGGAATGATATCGAAGACGTCTACGGCGAATCACCGCAGCCCCCTGCCTTTCTGGGAAGTGCCTCTGTGGCTCCAGGTTTGGTCAGAGCTTGGCCAAGCTACCGGACTGTGTTCCCCTCAGCCGCTCTGGAAACTCTTCGGGGTGGAGGATGATAGGGAGGACCAGGAGAGGGAGGAGGAGGAGGAGGAGGAGGAGGAGGCCTTTTGGAAGCCTCTTGGGGCACTCTTAGGGCCTCCTGGGAGCTTCCTGGGGGCGCCTTGGAGGTCTCTTGTGGGCCTGGCCTCGTCGGGGCTGTTGGGGGCTCTTTGGCCAGCTTGGGGTGCTCCTGGCAAGTCTGATGCCGTCGGATGCCGTCGGAGGGGGCCTCTCTGAACCGACTTGGGGCCCTCTTGGGGCGCTTCAGGGCCGTCTCGGAAGCCATCTTGAGCATCTTGTATGCCTATTTGGCCGTTCGGGGGCCGTTTTGGGAGCCTCTTGTGCCGTCAGGGCGCCATAGTGGAGGCATCATCTGCGCTCGTAGGGGCCTGTTGGGCCGTCAGATTGCCGAAAAGGAGAAAACGCCAATACCCTGCAAAAACCTCCGGATAATCAATGATGTTGGCCGCTTCCGGCATTCTTGGAGGACCTCTTGGAGGCCTTTCGGGGGCCTTTTGGACCGTCTTGGGCCATCTTGAGGCCATCTTGGGTGCAGCTTGAGCCGTCTTGGAGGCATCTTGCGGCCACCTTGGGCCCTCTTGAGGCCATATTGGCCGTCTTGGAGGCCATCTTAGCATCGTGCCCTTCTGCCTCCTACTCATTACCATGAGATGGCGACCCGCGTTTTCATTCGAGGGGGAGGGAGGGACGTCTTGAGGGCCTCTCTCGGCCGACTTCGGGCCTTCTTGGAGCGCTTCAGGGACGTCTTGGAGGCCCTGTTGGGCGTCTCGGAGGTCCCCTGGGCCGTCTTGGGGTCCTCTTGGGGTTGGGCCGTCTTGGGCCGTCGTAAATCTGAAAATGAGCAAACGCCAAAATCCTTCAAACACCAATGGAAAAACACGATGAATTCGGCATCATGGGGCCCTCTTGGGGGGCAGGAACGGGAAAGTGGTTGAGGGAATGGGAAGTTCATTGTGCTCTGATTTCGGTGTCGTCATGCTGCTATCATCCAAAACCTCACCCCAACTCCAGGAAACTGGTGCCCGACTTGGAGGATGGCCCACAATGCATCCCGCAGACCTCACTATTTAAACAGGGGTCTCCATCAAAGTCCCCAATCGATGCGATTGGTGGCACAACTCAGCCATGGAGTGGTCGACAGCTGTCCCAGAAAAGGCCGAGGGGCCCAAATCAGAGGGCCCATGCACCAAATCATGAGTACGATCCACTCGCAACGCTTCAGGGGGAAAGGCTTGAATTCTCTGTTGAGTGAAGCTCTCGAGTTCGCGCTGAGGAAATAGGAGGAGGAGGAGGAAAGAGGAGGAGGAGGAGGAGGAGGAGGAGGAGGACGAGGAGGAAAAAAAACAGAGAGGATGTAAAAAAGAGACGGCGAGGTGCACAGGGGGCGGGGAAGGGCAGGAAAGGAGGTGGAGCGGGGGCCTGGAGCGGTGGGCCGGGAGGGAATGGGAAGGGAGTGAGGGAGGACGGTGTCCCGCGATGCATCAGGTCCCAGGATGTGCGCATCCCAGCGCCGCGCACCACTCCGAGCCAGCGGACCTCTCTCTCTCTCTCTCTCTCGTTCCACTCCCCGCGTGAGGTCATCAGTTTGGCAGTCCGTGCGCCCCAAGATCCTCGACCCATTCCCTCGCTCTGCGTTCCATCGTGGCAGCTTTCTGGTTGCCTTGGGGCTCGGAGCATCGAACCAGAGGCAGGAGTTCAGGATAACCACCCGCACTGCCAACAAAGCACGGCGTCCAAGATTGTTGCCTCTGCCTGTATGTTTGATTGTCCTTCCTCTCTGTTGTTTACTTATGTATCTCTCTATGGATTTGCATTATTCATACAAATATAGTGCTGTCGCTCTGGTCCTGGTACCTAGTATCTAATTTCAGATGTATGCACACATAACCGTATATGAAAATACACCGAGCCATGCATACATAGAGGATGCAGTTGCGAAGGGAGAGGTGCCGACTGAGATGCCAGTACATGCGCTGGCGCAACGTTCCGAAGAAGCTGGCCATGCCCCTGCGGACTCACCTCATGTGGCTGTGGGAGGCGAAGGCCGCGCGGGGGGGGGGGCCTTCAGGAGGAGGAGGAGGAGGAGGAGGAGGAGGAGGAGGAGGAGGAGCAGGAGGAGGAGGAGGAGGAGGAGGAGGAGGGAAGAATAGGAGGGGGATACGCACGAGGGGGGATGAGGAGGAGGATTCGCTGAGGATTTTCTCGGACTGGCCTTGCCAGACAAACAACACCGCCTATGCCTCGATGTCAGGGTCCAGGGGCCCTGTTCGGGCCCTGGGATGAGAGCACCGTCCCCGGAGAAGGGGTCGAGAGCTCTGGGTGGCCGTACCCACGTACTGCAAAAAAATGTCAGAGATCTGGCTTCCAATACTGAGGCTCGCCTCGGAATTTGGGTTTGCCTCCTCCTCCTCATCATCATCAGCAGCAGCAGCAGCATCATCATCCTTCTCCTCCTGCCTCCTCCTGCCTCCTCCTCCTCCTCCTCATGCATTATCCTCCTTACTCCTCGAGGCCTTCCAAGAGGCGCAGCTGGCCATCCACAAGGTGGAGTCCAACGCGTCCGAGGACAGAGCCAGGTTTTCAGGCATCCCTAGGCTCTCAAGACAGGCCAATGATATAGTTGACCGTCAGGCCGAGGCTGCCGCTCACAAGTTTCAGCTGCCCGAAGGCGAGGTTGACAACGTTCGCGAGGTGGAGCGCCTCGCGAGCAGGGTTCGAAAAGGGCAAGTAGTGGTGCTTGAGGAGTGTGCTCTTTGTGACCCTTGTGGCCCTGGCAGGGTCGTTCACGCGCCGCCCCAGTAGAAGCTTCCTCGAGCAAGCAAGTTTCACTTGTTGATTGCTATGACAGGGCACGAGGTCGTGCGGACAAAGGGTCGGGGGGCAAGGAGGGCTCCCGATTCTCGTGCCGCCGCTGTCTGGAGAGCCGCGGGGGAACCCACCAAGAGCTGGCCGAGTGGCTGACCTCCCAGTGCTTGCCTGCCTGGACTGAGATCTCGGAGAGTTCGTGTCCTGTGCCGCCTGGCACGCGGGTCGCGGACAGAGTGGTCCAGAGCCACGTTGCCCGCGCGCAGTGCCAGGTGCGCGTGTTCGTTCCTTGCCTCTTGCCTGGTGGCACGGTTCGCCATAACGGCATCCCCGTATGGGCCATTTCCCCTGGCGCAGCTTTCTTTTGCCTCGCCGCCGACGCAAAACAGGCTCGTTCTGCCCACAGTGCGGCGTGCGCCCGGCCCGCAAGAGTGGAGTCCTTCGCAGCTCGGCGGAGGAGCGCCGCCCGCCCTCGAAGGCGGGCGCCGGCAGGCTCCAGCTGCTTGAGAGGGGGGCGCGGCCAGGGAGCTCCAGGCAGCAAAGGATGGCCCCCCCCCCACGCCGCCAAGTGGCTGCACGAAGGGGGGGGGTCCATAGACCCACCCCAGGACCCCAGGACACTGTCCACTCACGGGGAAAGAACTAATCCCACTGCTCATCTTCCTCCTCCTCCTCCTCCTCCTCCTCCTCCTCCTCCTCCTCCTCCTCCTCCTCCTCATCATCATCATCATCATCATCATCATCATCATCATCATCATCATCATCATCCCCAGCATCACCATCAGCATCATCATCATCACCAGCATCATCGTCCTCATCAAACTCATCATCATCACCAGCATCATCATCACCAGCATCCTCATCATCATCAGCAGCAGCATCATCGTCATCGTCGCCGTCATCCTCAAATTCCTTCCGCTCCAAGCCATACTCGTCCTCCTCTGCCTTCCCCTCCTTATCCCCATCCTCGCCCTCCCGGGAGACGAGGTGGAGTGACCTTCGCGTCATTGAGCACAGGGATGGCAGCCCCAGCCAACCAGCAACAACAATCAGCACATCGTCCGCGACGGCACCCACGTGCACAAGACGTACAATACCCTCCGTGTTTCGCTAAGCCTGTTTCGGTCGTCTAAGTTCAGAGTTGATCGATGGCAGGTCTTGTGGCTGCGCATCTCTACACTGGAGGGAGGGAGGGAGTGGAGCAGGATAACGAGGAGGATGACGGCAAGAGGAGAAGGAGGAGGATGAGGGAGGAAGAGGAGGAGGAGGAGGGTGAGGAAGAAGGAGGAGACGCGGAGGGAGGGAGGAGGGAGGGACAGAGAGGAGAAGTACAGAGGACAAGAAAGAGATGGAGGAGGAGGAGGAGGGGGAGGAGGAGGAAGAGGAGGAGGAGGAGGAGGAGGAGATCGGCGGAGGATGGAGGGGGACATGGACGAAGGGGGGCCAGGGGATCTCAGGCCGCTCGGGAGTTGAAGCTCCTGGCTTCGCTAGGTTCCTCGTCAAGACCTCTTGGCGCTTGGCTCTAGCGAGGGATCCCTCGGAGTCCGTTATTGCTCCTCGTCCTTCTTCGCTTCATACCTCATTTTCCTCGTCCTCGTATCCTTGTTTTCGTTTTCCTCCTGCTCCTGCTCCTCCTCCTCCTCCTTCTCCTCCTCCTCCTCCTCCTTGTTTCGCTCCTCGTCATCCTCATCCATATCTTCCTGCTTCTCGTCCTACTCCTCCGCCCTCGTCTTGTTAGATTCCTATATCATTATATTGTTCCTTCATCCCCTCCTCCCTCCCTCCTCCGCCTCCGTTTCCTCCTCCTCGTCGTTGACCGCATCCTCATCGTTGTTGACCTCTTCCTCCTTCTCACCCGCCTCCGCCTCCGTTGTTGCAGGGACGTACAGCCGCTTCGGCACGGCTCATGCCAAAACGCAGCGAGCCAGGAGGGGCAGATTGCCCCCCCCAACCTCACACTGGGGAGGGATCCGAAAGAGGGAATCCAGGCAGACTCTGTCTAGTTGTCCATTGGCGTGTGCGCTCTTGGCGACGTCTCGTGTGACGTTCCCAGCTTGCCCAGCGGTCTCTGGTCCAACGTCATGGGGGCACACGTGAAAGGGACACTTGATGGTGCGAAAAGCCTAGAAAGCAAAGCAATTCAGCATCATCAGCATCATCAGCATCATCAGCATCATCATCATCCTCATCATCAGAATCATCATCATCAGCATCCGGATCAGTCTCAACATCATCAGCATCATCATCATCACCATCGCCATCATCATCAGCAGCATCAGCATCAGCATCATCATCGTCAGCATCATCATCATAATCGCCAGTATCATCATCAGCATCATCATCCACGCCGTCCTGCTCCCCCCACAGAGGCTGGCTTCGACACCTACGAGGAGGAGATCAAGCGCATGCTGTCCCCCGTGCTCAAGCAGGAGCAGCCCGGCCCTTTCCAGCGCTCGGCAGTCTCAAAGACGGCCACCCTCTTCCTTAGCATTGATTCAAGCATTTGCGCTCGTTTGCACTTCTTTCGTAATTTCGCCTGTTGGCCGCAAGCTTGTGCGGCCTCCAGATCATGGAAACGCACCGCCCCAAAAAGCAAGTTCGACGAAAGCAGCCATGGTGCGCGAGAGAGCGATTCCTGTATGAAGCGTGAGAAAGTGACACGCGAGAGCGCGAGTTTGAGATATGAGGTCAGAAAGCATCAGGCGGGAGCCATTGTTGTTGTTGGTGGTGGTGGTGTTGTTGCTGTTGTTGTTGCAAGTCGGGGGCCAGGGGCGCAGTTTGGTGGCCCGACACCATTGTAAAAACGTGCGAGCGCTGTCAAAAAGCGATTGCCCCAGAGTCCAGGACACGTAAACATCTCTACCCATATGCCAAGGGATTCTTGAGCCCCAGCCCGCAAGTTCCCTTTTAGCGAGATCCAGGCCAGTTTGGGAGCCCAAAGCGATTCCGACCAAGTTTTTCGAGACCCGATTTCCCAGGAGGTGCGTGGTGTTCTGGGCGTCGAGTTCCGAACACGCGCTGATCTGCGAAAGATCTCTGGGGCTGAAAACGAACACGCATTCTGAAAGGTCGGGCCAAGATCCTACCTTCAGCGGTGGAGCCGAGGGAGTGTTCTGTGTCTCTGGCGTCTGCGACGCAGTGGGGCCACGGAGGCTCTTCCACTTTTGAGGGGGAGCTCATCTGCCGCAGCGCAGGTGAAGAAAGGAGGGGGGGGTCGGATCGCCCGAGCGGCGAGCTGTCATTGGGGCTGCGATCTTCACTTGCCGTGGAATCGCTCGTCACTTCTCTGGTGAGGCGGCAACGAATATTTGTCTGTTTGGTGGGGTCAGGCTGCCATCTTGCCTGGATCGGAAGGCTCGCACACGGGGACCACGCACAAGCGGTAGAGCGTCCGTGCCTGGTTGGGGGCCTGCGAGCCAAAACAGTTATGGAAAGAAGGCGGGCGAAGGGGATGAGGAGGGCAAGGACAGCAAGGGTGATCAGTCTGGGGGGGGGGGCCGTCGCACCACCGCCGCCCTGCGTCGACAGAGCTGGCACGAGGCCCCAGATCGACAGATTTGTTTTTGATATGTTTTTTCTGAGCTTCGATCTGAGGCCTCCTCTGGGGACCGCGGGCGGATCGCACCCAAGCCTGGGCCGAAATGGAGCTTCAGGATCCTGTCTGATTGCGCGGCCCGCCGACCACCGCACGCAGGAGCTCTCCTACCACATCTACGGGCACATGCTGCGAAGCGCGCCGTTCCTGCAGTGGCTCCGCATGTACGAGCCCTGCCTCAAGGACCGAGTCGCCGCGCCGGGCCGTGCGAAACGACGACAAGCGCCTGCCGCGCAGGCAGAGCACGGGCCTGACGCTGAGCGAAGGACCACAGGCTCAGGAGGGTCTCTGGTTTTCGGCTGACTCCTTGAGATCCAGGCCGGGGAACCTGTTCGAAGCCGAGGCCGGCCTTGGCCGAAGAGGCCTCTTCGTGCCTGCTTCGGCGCTCCCCGTGGTAGCACGACGGCTACAAGGGGAGACCCCCGGCGCGCACATCCACAGACGGCAGGTGCTAACACCGTGCCTGGTCAGGGCTGTCCTGGGCCCCATGATGGTGCATGGACCCTCCTGGTCGGGGCCAGGAGCCTGCATACACCCATCAGACAGCTCAAGAAAATGCACGAGTCATCCTGGGCTCCAGATTTCGCTTACGAAGGCCCAGAAAGTCTGGACTGGACCCTGGGTGTTTTCTTGGAGTTGTTTTCTCTCCTTCGTAGAACTCTCGTAGATCGGGACCTGCACTACTGTGTAAGACAGCGCTTGGAGTGAAGCACACATCCTCGCGCAACATTCTCTTAACTCTAAGCAGGGGTGTGCGCCCTCCCAGGGCCCCCTGGCGGCCCTGACCGGGGATGTTGGTGGTGGCGGTGTCTGCAGGCCTGCTCCGAAGCAGGAGGGGGGGCAGGGCGAGAGATCGGCGGCCTGCCACGAAGGGCGGCGAGCTTCACGGAGACGGCCGGCCCCTCAAGAGCAGTGCGCCGCACACCTTGCCGGAGAGGCGCAGGAACCATCTTAGAGTGCCGCCCCCCTGGCCTTGCGCCCGTCTGTGCTCGCCGCCGACGAGGTCTGGAAGGAGAGGGGCTCCGCCCAGGAAGCGATGAGAGGGGCGGAGGGCGGAGGGGCGGCGGAGGAGACGTGGCAATCGTGGACGTGTTGGCAGGACATGCCGGCTAGCGCTGGCAACAGCAAGAAGCCCATAGCAAATTGCTCCGGCTATCAGTTGTCGCTTAATTCTGTTTACAATATATATATATATATATATATATATATATTATTGTACTATATTGTTATATTATTATATGATATTATATTATATTGTATTATATTATATTATATTATATTATGTTATATTTTGTATATTATATTATATTATATTATATTATATTATATTATAGTATATTATATTATATTATATTATCTTATATTATATTATATATATATATCCACCAGAAGGGGGGAAAGAGCAGACGGGCGGAGGAAAGTAAAGAGGGAGGGAGGGGGACAAAAACACGAGCGAGAGAGAGAGAGAGAGAGAGACAAAGGGAGGGAAAGCGAGAGCGGAAGAAGAAAGGGAGAGGGGGAGGGAGGAAGCGAGGGAGGGAGAGGGCGAGGTCCTGGAAGCGAGAGAGGAAGGGAGGAAGCGAGGAAGCGAGAGAGGAAGGGAGAGGGAGAGGAAGCGAGGAAGCGAGAGAGGGAGGGAGGAAGCGAGAGTGCCGGCCTCAGAGAGGAGCTCACCGTGCTGCTCTCATCAGGCCTGTGGGGCGGGCGCCTGCCGCCGCGAGCGCGTGGCGGCCTGGGTTCTCCGTGGCCTGCTCCGCGAGGTCGCTCTGTCGTTCTCCTTCGCTTTCCCCCAAGATTATGGCAGCTGACGCGCAAGAAGCTCCGACTCCAGCCACTCGCGGGATCGCTACAATGCGAGCACAGGGCCGCTTGCCGTGTAAGCCACCGCCAGCGACTCGGCCACAACGACGGAGGCCCCAAGCTTCTTGGGAGGGGAATTGGCGAGGTCTGCGGATTTGGGATGTCGTCGGTCCTTCACCGTCGAACCGTGTTCCTTTACTTCGCTGCTGGCGGGGGCACACAGGTCTCACGTCGGCCCCTCGTTGTCGAACCGTTTTTCTTTGCTTCGCTGTTGGCGGGGGCACACAGTTGCCATGCCCCCCACACGTGCGGTGACTGGGCGTTGGATGGAAGCTTGCGCGCCCTCTGCTTTAGCTCCCCGAGCCATCCCTCTTTGTGCTCGGGCCCAGGCCTGGCGAGCTCGACCCCCCTCCTTGAGCTGCACTGCTGCATTTTGACTTGCTCCGGACCGGACGACCTGCCCACGAACACAGGGTTGCCCCAAAGTTTTCAGTCCCCCGTTGACCTCCTCTCTGCTTCAGGTGATTGTCCATATCACTCCCCGGCTCTTGCTTTCATTTCGCCTCTAGCCCTGTTCCTCCGCCTCTTTTTCCTCTTCCTCTTCCTCCTCGGCCTCCCCTCGCCTCTGCCTCATCCTCCTACTCATTCTCCTTTTCCCGTACAAATGGCACCTCCAGGTCGCACCCCCCCCCAGATGCGTCGGTAGGGCGGGCCGGGCTTTTCGCTTGCGATGTCCTCACCATGTGACCATGTGTGGTCCTGAAGCTTCACACTTGCAACAGCTTCAAAAATGGATACCGGGTCGTTTTCAAAATGTGGCTCTCGCTTGAGTTCCGCGCACCTTCGCCGTAAAGTTTGCATCATTTCCACTGACGGAGAGCGGGCCAGTTTGAAAATGTGGTTCTCGCTCGAGCGCCGCGCACATTCGTTCTAAAATTGTGCAACAGCTTCAAGGATGGAGGGCGGGCCTTTTTCAAAACGTGGCTCTCGCTTTAGCGCCGCGCACACTCGTTTTCAAAGTTTGCAGCAGCTTCAAGGATGGAGGGCGGGCCGTGTCCAAAATGTGGCTCCCGCCTGAGCGCAGCGCACATCTGCTTAAAAGCTTACAGCAGCTTCAAGGACGGAGGGAAGCTCCTTTTCAACATATGGCTCTCGCCTCGGTGCCACGCACACTTGTTCTAACAGGCTTGCAACAGCTTCAGGGACGAAGGGTGATTCATTTCAACATGCGGCTATCGCCTTAGCGCCGCGCACATTCGTTCGAAACTCTTGCAACATGTTCAAGGACCAGGGACGGCGTTCTGGCATGATCTAGGATGATCAGAACGCAACAGCCACATCGATTTGCAGTGTTGAAGTCCAACCAGTCACGTTGATTGGCGTCGCTGAAATCCCATTGGTTGTGTTTCGGCACGACGCAGGTCAATGTGTGATTATCAGACGGTTGTCTCACCATTGGACATTTCCCGCTATGGGAATAAGTTCTTGCAGGAACATACGAAGAGAGAATCTAGAGGGAGTGTATTGCAATATCGTTGCTGCGTCTTGTGGTTACACTGTTCAAACCGACGTCAGAGGAACATCCCAGGAACATCTCGTCCTCCCACCTCCCCTTCCTCCCTCCCTGCTCCTCCGTTTTCCCCGACAGCCCTAGAGGCTTCCAAGAAGGACCCGCACCCCCGTGGAGGACCCCCAGGGCTGCTGTAATGGGTCCCTTCGCTACCCGCGCCCCCTCTCGCCCCTCCGTCGCGGGCTGCTAGTTGATGCTGCGGTCACACGTCCACGATAGAGTTTTCATGGCTAGTTGTTGGTGTCCCACGGGCGTGTTGGTGGTGTCCCGACGGATCGCCTCTCATTCACCAGATCCCAGAGGGTCGTGACATGTGATCGCTCGCGCCCGCAGTGGAGAGAAGGCCGTGACATGTGACGCTTACTTCCCCGATGGCCCAGAGGGCCGTAACATGTGGCACTGTCGTCAAGACGCGTTGACAGGAGTACCGCCCGTAACATGTGGCACTGTCGTCAAGACGCGCTGACAGGAGTACCGCTTTAGGTTCGGAAGGGGCGCGCTGCTCTTTAGGGCTTCCCGTGGTCGTTCCTCTGGCCCTCCTCGTGCACCTGGGCTCCCTTCTGGCGCCACAGAGGGGCTTCGTTCCTTACTTGGCTCTCCTTCTTGCAGCAGCTTGACGGTAGTGGCCTGGAGTCTCCCATAGAGGCTGCTGGAGGGCTATCGGGCGGAATGTCCACACAGCCTCGCTGTCTTCCGGGCTTTTGCTATTGATCGTCAGTCATCGGTGGCCGCCGAAGAAAAAGGGAGACTGCCAGAGGGCCAGCTTCGGGAGGATCTCGGGGCATCTCGGGAGGCCTGCGGGGGACCTCCGGCCCATCCGGGAGGGGCCTGCGGCCGCCCGGGGTGGGGGAGCCTCTTGGGGGGCAGCCTGGAGCGTTGCCTTCTGCCCGTTTGGCGTGCCGCTGCCGGGCTGCCCCGGAGATGTCTTGCTCTCCCCCCGTCGAACCTCGGGCGGCTCCCCTGTGCCCCCCTCCACCTGCGTCCCCGCCCCTCGCACCTTCGCCCGCACGCTAGGCCACCCAGGAAGCCACAGAGGATGGAGGAGGAGGGAGGAGGAGGAGAAGGAGGAGAAGGAGGAGGAGGAGGAGGAGGAGGAAGGGGGAGGAGGAAGAAGAGGAGGACGAGGAGGGAGGACGAGGAGGAGGGAGG